TAAGAAGGTTAAGCCACATGTGCTTGTTGGATTGTCAGGGGTTGGTGGTATTTTCAATGAGGAGGTAAATTCCTTCTAGAAATAGAATAGCACTTCTATCATGCCTTAACTTTCTGTGATGCATGTTAAAATGTAAAATGTAATAGAGATACTAGAAATGTGTTTTGTTTTGGCAGCTTATGGTTCTGCAATATGCATTTCACTACAATTGAATTGCTTAATTTTAATGGTTGAGATTCAACTCAGGTGCTTAAGGCAATGAGAGAATCTGTTTCGACAAAACCTGCTATCTTTGCCATGTCTAATCCCACCATGAATGGTTTGTTTGTACAAGGCTTATCAAGCACTCATAATTCCTCAATGATGTTCATTTTTTTAATGTTGACACTGTTGTTTTTAACCATTGGAACAGCTGAGTGCACTGCCGCTGATGCTTTTAAACATGCTGGAGAAAATATAGTTTTTGCTAGTGGAAGTCCTTTCCAGAATGTAGACCTTGGTAATAATCTCTTGTTTAAATGATTGATTTTGAACTTTGAAATCTGAATCAGATTTCCTGATTTATGGGGTTATATAGGTTTATTTTAGCTTGATTTGCTTGTACAATAAATAGCATAATTACCTTGATCCTCTGAATAAACCTTGTGTGCAGGTAATGGAAAAGTAGGCCATGTAAATCAAGCAAACAACATGTACCTGTTCCCAGGGTATGTTTTGTTGATTCAAGTTCTTTCATGAATCATATCTATCTGTGAAGATATTGATGTGGTTTCAATGGTCACCTTCCGTTCCAGGATTGGTTTGGGAGCTCTTCTGTCAGGTGCTCGTCTTATAACTGATGGAATGTTGCAGGCAGCCTCTGAATGGTATGCAGCTGGACATTTTAACTTTTATGCTTGTATCTTTCTCAACCCCAAGCTTTCTGAACTAGCATTAACGGAAGTGTGAGAAAATTGGTGTTTGATTTTTCTAAATCCTAGCTTGATGGAAATCCAGTGGCTGTGCTGCTCTTTCATTATACCTTGAGTAGTTTGTCGTTCTATGTATTCTCTAATCATTTTACTTGATTTTCTTTATCTCTTCCCTTTCTTAAAACTTGCATACGGATCCAATCGTTCACTAACTTTTCTAGGGTTCTGCCTTTTGTACTAACTTTGAACTTGCTATCCTATGCACCTCATCGAGGCTAATGAACTTTCTTCAGCGAGTTTTATGGTGAACTATTGATTATTTTGGTTTGATTACTTTGCATCATTTAAGTTGTTCAATCTTTGATGAGATGTCTGATTTGGCTCAATGCCTCGATGCTTTCCTTTACAATAAATTGCTGACATGCTGCCATCCTTACAGCCTTGCTTCATACATGACAGAAGACGAAGTCCTAAAAGGAATCTTGTATCCATCCATTAATAGGTAGTATTGCATTTTTGCTTTGTTATTGTGTGATATTTGTTTTCTCTCAAAACTACTTCTTCCCTGTCACTTTTTATTAAGTATCAGAAATCAAAATTTTCTGAACACGTCAAAGAGCTTCTTCTTCTTTTTTTTTGCATGTCAAGTTTGGTGATAAACTTAAGTTTTGTTCTACCCATCTCTCATTAAAAAAAAAAAAAAAAAAATCCATCCATGTCCTAAAATGAAATGGTTATAGAGGAGTTATAATTATATTATATTACTACTTTGTACTCTAAAATAGATGTCTACCTGATATTTTCAAAAGAAATAAAAGAAAAAAATGGTCTTGGTGTTTTAATGAGGTGGGATAGTTGATAGAATGCTTCGACGGTTAGCTAAGTCTAGTTCGCCGCTGCAGTATCCGAAATGTTACAGCAGAGGTTGGAGCTGCTGTTCTGCGGGAAGCAGTTGCAGAGGGGCTGGCAGAAGGGAACAGTGATATAGGGTTCAAAGAACTCTCGCTCATGTCAAAAGTATGGAATACTGCTTGCTCATATAACTTTAAGATATATTACAATTGTTTTGGGGTATATCGAGCCTCTATATGTTGCATTCTTTTGGTAGAATTAGATGTGCAAGATTACCGTTAAATGGAGTGACTTAATTGGTAAGACATGCTTGAACCTGTTAAAGGACCTCTGCAATTGTAGGGGTTCAAGTCTGCTGTAAAGCATACTTGTGGCAAGGGATCCAAAGATAGGGGGGGATTTTCAATTTGATATTCGAACATTAACCCTTTTTTTGGATGAGGAGGAAAATAGGGAGGAAGAAAAACTCCTAAAAATGGTAAAAAAAAAAAAAACTATTTTTAGAAATTTCTCCTCCTAGTTTTCTTTCCACCCTATTTTCTTCCCATTTTTCCCTCCATCCATACCAAGTTTTTACAAGTATGCAAAATCCTAGAGATCTTGTTATTTTTCTATCAGGAAAAACATAAATACAGTTTTTAGGTTCATGTTATCATGTACATAGTAAAATTATGAGATGGAGTCTTTTCTTTTTCTTTTTTAAATTAATCTTTTTATCTCACCTAAACAATCTCACCTAAACAAAACATAATCCCATCCTGGTTTCACCTGAATTCCACCGCTTCTTACTTAATGGCTGTTGCACTGGTTGCAGGAGGAGACGGTGGAGTACATCAGAGACAATATGTGGTACCCTGTATATAGCCCTCTTGTTCATGAAAAATAAGCATCCTGAATTTTCCGCGACATATTCTTGAAGGCCTTGTGTGATCACATAAAATGTTGCTTCGGTCAAGCCTTCTATATTATTGTTGATGATTTATAATGGTTTGTCAAGTCAGGACTAGCAAGCTTCTGTGAAAATTTTGTAGTTCTTGATTTGATCTTGGTAAATCCTCATGGATGTGTATAATGTTGAAAATAGATAACGTGTTCCCTTATTTATCCACGAGCATCTGCGTGGACTTTATTCTTGATGACGCTAAATTCTATGGGAGCTCTATTGACATTTCATTATTACCGGTGGCCGTGGTGGGTTTATAAAACTTTTGTAATCAAGTCTCGGTTATTATCTTTTGGAATCAGGTGTTGGAATCGCCATCGGAAAGTAGAAGCCTTGAAACTATAATATTTTGTTAAATTAAATAGTGATATCACACGAGATGAAACAGAATGGATGACAAATTCGATAACCAGACAATGAATTGCTCAAAAGGCTGCTTTTTATTGGGTGCTCGTTCTGTTTGCCTAACTGAACAAATGATCTACCTAATTCTGTGTTTTCGCCTACTAAAGTTTACACAAGTGCAAGGGAAGTGTCAGTTTTTTGACTTTTTGCATGTAATAATCCCGACCAGAATTAATTTTTTATTCTTTCTTCTAGAAGTGTGCATTTAATCTAAATTAAATCTTTTACTTTGATTTTTGAAAAAATATCACTCCTGGACCATTGAAGTAATTTAGTATTAAACAAGTATTAAAAATTTTAAAATATTATTACAAAATTAAGTGATTAATTTAAAAATAATTTTAGATATAAAAATATTCTAATAATCATTTTTTTAACTTGTCAACAATACTTTTTTATTAAATATAAATGAATATTTATTAATTAGTAAATGATCACCTTTTGAAATATAATTTATATTTATTTTTTCTCACAATTAAATTCTTTTATATTTTTAAATTTATCAATTAGTGAATAATTTTTTATTAAATATAAATTAATATTTATTAATTAAAAAATGATTACTTATTGACACATGCTTTACACCTGTTTATTTTTACAATTAAGTTCTCTTAAATTTTTGGAGGTTATTGGAGAGAATATTGAAAAAAGAAAAAGATGAAAATTAAATAAAAAGGAACGATAAATTAAAATAAGTTTATTTAATAAAAATTTAATATTTTTTAAAAAAATTATTTTTTAAGGCGTCAAAATTCTTTTATTATTTGAAATATGCTGCGTGTGGTTGTTGCTAACTTTTTTACTTTTCAGTTGATTGGAAAGCAATGGTTTATTTGTTTGGCCATCGTGCAACGTGACTGATTATAAGAGAAGTCAACATTTGAAGGCTGGGTAAACTTTCTCCTTTATCCAAGTATAATGCACATTGGCTTGCAGGAAAGATAATTATTTAGTTAAAAAAAAAAGACCAAAAAAGTTGCTTAACAGCGACAAACTGTAAATAAATTGGAAGTTTTATTTGGACGTGCCTTGTCAATTTTTTCAGTTTTAATGTGTCATCATCTAGAAGAATCAGAAAAGGCAAAAACCAACAAATGGAAAACGTTCACCTCTAATCCCTCTGACTCAGAGTTTTGCACTGTTATTTAATTTCAAAATATTTTACTTAATGAATATTACACCACAAAGTTGACACTAAAATGTTTTTACTCTTTTTAAAATATTTATTATTTATTTAAACATTATAATGATTGGATTTAAATTAATCATATATATCACAAAATTGATAAAATAAAATTAAGTGATAATAAACGGTATTGAAGAACAGTGATTTTCAGGTAATAAAATATTTTTATAACAATGAAGGAATGACTTTAGCTATGATTCTTGTACATTGATTCCTCGCACCATTAAAATAAGTATATAAATAGCATTTTCTATCTAAAATATAATATAAATATAAATGAAGAAGAATGACAAAAAAATCTCATTGAAGTATGAGAATCTCAAATTAGGACCATAAATAACAAACTCTATGAATTAAATTAAGGAAATATTAAACCAAAAGCAGGTGTATTTTTTAATAATTATTTATTATATAATAAATTCTTGTTATTAATATTATTAAGATTAAGATGTTATATATTTTTATAAAAAATTAATAAAATTTAAAAATTATACTAGGTCAAATTTTCTTTTTCCTTTCTGGACAAATGTATTTAACTAAATTTTCTATAAACTTAAAAAAGTGTTTTTATTCAAAAAATTAATTATTCATTAATAATTTTATTTGTAATAATTTTTATTTTATATAAGGACTTGCAAATAAGTTTCCCATTTTTATTTATATGAGAAGGATGATAATCGCGTCAAAATCTGACCGTGAAAGATTGTCTTCTCTGATTCTGTTTCAGAATCGTCATGATTCATGTCTCCCTCCAGTTTTCCTTTTTGCTACCACATATTCAATGGATTCCTTGTCTTTTACTTTAATGTTTTCCTTCTCACGTGTCTCAAATATTTCTGCGTATCAATCCGTCCAAACGTCAAAGTTTGAATCTGGTTTGCAAAAATTATATATTTCTTCTACCTGATATAATCCTCCGTCTTGCGCAGTTTCTGCATCAATGGCGGAAACTAAGGAAAGGTACCACCACTACTGCATCTTCTTCTTCATCCCCATTTGAACCATTCTATTCGAATTTCCATAAGATCCTTCCATTTTGTTCACTACATCTATGATATATGTTGATTTCGTAGCACTGATTGTGGTTTCAGGTATGGTGTTGTTACAGGGGCGAACAGAGGAATAGGGTTGGAGACTATGAAAATGTTGGCCTCCAATGGAGTCAAGGTGGTTCTCACAGCCAGAGATGAGAAGAGGGGCCTCGAAGCCCTGGAGAAATTGAAAGCGTTTGGCTTCTCTGACCTTGTAATTTTTCACCAGCTTGATGTGACGGACACTGCTAGTATCGCATCTCTTGTGGATTTTGTTAAAACTCAATTTGGGAGACTTGACATTCTGGTTAGAATGAATATTGAATATTCTCAACTCTCTTTTTATTCTTCTTTTATTTGCTCTCGTTTGTCCAGTGAAATGGAATTTGATCGATTGGAATCTTGTATGCGACTTAACTATTTTCATGAGCATGAATTCGTAACTAAATCTACCCAATATTTGATTTTCGAGGGAGATCAATTGGTAGTTATGGTTTGCTACGTTCTTTTTACAAAAGTTGTGGGCTCAGATGTTGCTGCTGTGACGTGGTGACGTGATTACTTTATTGAATCTGTAAACTCTTCTGTAGGTATTTTTTGAACGCGTAAGCATGCCTTAACTAGTTCTAGGACTCAATTTACCTGAAACTTTTTCAACCAAAAAAAAAAAAAAATAAACAGAGAGTGCTTGGAAGGATTTTTCTAACTTCTACATGATTGTTGTACTTCAGTTGGCTGGTATGAAATCTTTAACGACAGCGACAGTTCACTGTTTGATGCTGTTTTTGCTTTTTTGTTCTTGAAAGGTTTTTAAAAATGAACGACAGAATTTATTTGGAATATATTTTCTTGCAAATAATTTTCTCTATATCGCTTTAGAGAAAGCTGAGAACAAATGAAGGTGTTCATTGTTCTAAAATGGTAGAAGCTATAAGAAAACTTAGAGCTTCTATGACTAGTGTGATCGAAAGTGAGATCTCCGCCATCCCCATCCTTCATAACTAAATGAAACTTTAGTACAAAAAATGATGGCTTTATGCTTTATTCCCACATGAAGCTTCAAAAGCTTTCGTGTAAGATATGTTAGAGATGATAAGACCACTATTCATTGGAGATTAAACAGATTGTACATATATGTATATTAAAGAATTGGAGACTATACCAAAGGAAGTTGGATTTAGTGGAAGAAGTTAGTCTCTCACAACGTGGCTAAGGTTTTAATTCTCACCAAGAGAGGTGCTTTAGTGCGTGACTATGCCTTAAACAAGATTGCTTTCAATAAAAAGATAGCGGAAAAAAAAACAGAAGAAATAAAAACTATTTAAGAACATAAACCAAACAGGATAGCTAGCGTCTTTCTTTCCTTTATTATTATTTTTTTAAAAAAAAGTTGCCAACCTTCTTGTAAGCTTGAAACACTCAGAACCCCTAGAGACATGGAATGCCTCATAGCAGCCAAACTAAAACCACTGTTAGCTTTGTCACTTATCTGTGGAGCGAATGAGCTGAATCTGATCTTGCTGGTATCGATACAAACTCTTATTTTTTCAGTGTTTACCCTTGGCTTCATATGACAGTGAATCATTGTTTTGCAGGTGAACAATGCTGCAATCAGTGGAGTAAATATAGATGAGTTGGTTAGTCATTGAGCTCTTTTTCTCTACTCCTTTTGTTGTATTTGTCTATATTTATATAAATCACCTAAAAAGATTGTTTTTAATTATTCTGCAGGGGGAGGGCCCACCTTTCAACTGGAAGGAATTGACTCAAACTTATGATTTGGCTGAAAAATGTCTTAAAACAAATTATTATGGTGCTAAGGAAACAGCGGAGGCTTTTCTTCCACTTCTTCAATTGTCCAATTCTCCAAGGATTGTTAATGTTTCCTCCCAAGCAGGGCTGTTGAAGGTATAGTACATTATTACTAATACTTCCTTTGAGCTTTGCTGAAAGTACTGACCTTTTTTCTATATTCAAAACTGAAACAAATTTCCTTGGTGTTTTATTTTATTAAAACTAGAATGGGCCTTATATTTTCTAGAAGTTGACAATAAGTTTCACCATTCACGACTTGTGATCATTGCGTCTTCCTACACTTTTTATACTTCTTATTGACTACACTGACCTCTCTCCTAGCATCAAAATCTACTGAAACCTCACCTGAAATAAAGAGTAAATTACATAGGCCTCCCCTAAATTTGGTTGAAGTTACACAAATCTCTCCTTTATTTTCAAAACATACCAAAATTCCCCTAAAAATAGAAGTGAGTCCTATCTTTTTTTTTTTTTTTTAATAAGTTGGAGGAAGACCATGTGACTTGCTACGTAGTTCCCAAAGTTTTTTTTCCCCTTGTAAGTATTGAAAATAGAGGAGATGTCTTTGTAATTTTAGCAAATCCATTGTTTTTGCTTTCTTAAAATGACATCATATTGTGAGTTCTTCGCTAATATTCCCCAGAATAAGTAGCTCCTTTGAACTCTTGTTTGGGCTGTGATTTCAGATTATTATTACAGCAATGAAAAACTTGTTTAGTGATGTTCTTGTTTCAGGGCATATCAAACATATGGGCAAAAGGGGTGCTTGAAGATGTTGAGAATCTGACAGAAGAGAGAATTGATGAAATACTGAGAGAGTTTGCCAAAGACTTCAAAGAAGGATCAATGGAAACCAAAGGATGGCCAACATTTCTTTCTGCTTATGTGGTTTCAAAAGCAGCCATGAATTCTTACACAAGGATTCTGGCCAGAAGGTACCCAAGCTTGTGCATTAATTGTGTCTGTCCTGGATTCGTAAAAACAGACATGAACAGAAACAGTGGCATCTTATCTGTGGAAGATGGTGCTGCTAGTGTTGTCAGATTAGCTTTGCTCCCAAATGGTTCCCCTTCTGGCCTCTTCTTTGCCCGCCATGAGGTGTCCAGCTTTTGAATTATAGTGGTTAGCTTCACATTTTTGCTCATCAGACTTTGACAATGCGGATCCATGCTGCCATATGTTGCCCACATCTTCCCTAGTCACAATTGCTTGCATCACAAGAAAGACATTGTCTATTATTGTTATCAGTGGTGGTGGTGGGTATAATATAAAGAGGATTTGAACCCCAGCCTTAGCACCCTTATCATGTTCCATTTTTATCACCTGATGAGCTAACCTTAAATGCTGAAACATTTTATCCTTTTTTTTGGATTATATCAAGATGGTTTAAAGTTTAAAACGGGACCACATCCCATCCCACCTTTGATCTACTCTTGTTTGCTAAAATATTTTTTTTAATCATTATAAAAAAATGGACTAAAATGTATAAAACTTTCCTGAATTTTGAAATAGTTGTATATAACTCTTCTCAACTTTAAAAATTTAAAATTAACCTTCTAACCTTTAATTTTGTTTTTCAAAATCCCTTATTGTTAATTATGTTATTTTTTTATGAGGGTTAAAACATCATTCAACTAAAAAATGTTATTAAATAAAATATTATATTGTATAACTATTTATAATAAATTTTTTATATTTTTTGAATAGTTATGACATTAATAATAGTCAAAACAAATGTTATTATCACCATATAAAATTTTAAATATTTACTTTTTTGTTAGTTTTTTCTATTTTTTTGTTATCAATAGTGAATACTTTCTAGTATTAAAAGAAAAATTAATCTAATATGATAATGTTTAAAATTTTAAATATTTTAGTCATCTACATTACATTAATCTAACATGAAAATAAAAATAAAAATTTATTTTTTAAAATAACAAAATCATGTATCATTGATAACAAAAAATATGAAAAAAATAATATAAACATAAGTATTTAAAATTTTATATAGTGATAATAACAGTTTTTTTGTTATTAATGCTTCAACTATCCAAAAAATATAAAAAATTTATTATAAATAGTTATATAATATAATATTTTTGTTTAATAATATTTTTTTAGTTGAATGACATTTTAACCCTCATAAAAAACTCACATAATTAACAATTGAGGGTTTTGAAAAACAAAATTAAAGGTTAGAGAAGTTGATTTTAAAATTTTTAAGGCGATGAGGGTTATTTGTAACTATCTTAAAGTTCAAGAGAGTTTTATATATTTTAGTCTAAGAAATGAGGTATACAATAATTGATTTCTATTATTATTTCTCCATCGTAATTAAATAATATGATAGATAGTTCTATTTATATTTTAATTTTTTGACCAGCCGATTTATATTTTATTTATTCTATGTTACGTATGTCAATGAAATATAAAAATTTTAATAATTAAATTAATAACGGCAGAAAATTCTAATTTTTTTTTAATAGCAAGACTTAATCCCCACGTTTAGTTTGAATAGACTTCTAACCAAACAATTTGAATTAATTGCTGTTCGTTAGAGAAGCCTATTTTTTATTATCTTTTTCTAATAATTCATTCTCTTTTTCCCTTGCTATCATGTCACTCTCCTTCATATCAATAATCGAATAACTTCAGAGGATATGCTTGGTGGGGGAAAAAATAGGGATACCCTTTGTCCCCTTTGATTTAATAGCCTTGACTATTCGTAACATCATTAATCATTAACATAACAAAAAATAAACTTAACCTAGAAAAAGTGCTAGTTAGCTTTATAATTTTTGTATTCTTATCATATGAAGCTAAAAATATTTATTTTTTTGTTGCTAACTGGGTATTGACAAAAGAATAATCAACAGACAAAATTAAATTTTAGCATTGAGGTTTTATTAGGTTATTCTATTCGAGATTCGCTGTTCAAAGCGCAACCTGGCCTGCTTAATATTTTGTCAAGAGGATGTACCTGTGAGGTTAAGATTCATTTGTCCCATCCCTTGATCAGTTTAGGATCAGTGTCTCATTGTAGACAAGAGATCGGCTAATTTTATATGCCCTATAATTAGTGGCCTCCCTTTTGTCACCTTTCTAGCGCTGTTCTTTTGGCTAATCAGTTGGAAACAAACGCGTACTAACACTAGTTCGTTTCATTATCATCTGTTTGCTAAAAATATTCCTCTCACGAATCTAAAATCAAATTCTGTTTGGGATAGTGTAGGCATCGAAGGACGAATCACCACAATAGTTAATTGATTCTATTTACAATTCTACATATCCTACAAGGAACAGACGTGGGTTACGATAAGAATTGTGACCAAACTTGGAAATTTAGTCATTTCAAACCCCAAAATCTCTATTTATCCTCTCACACCGTCTCACGGCTCCTTCGTCTGAATCCTCATCATGCAACGAACAATGGCGGTGACGAGAAGATTAAGCTCTGTTCTCTTTTTCTTCGTCGCTTGCTTTGCTCTCCTCCCATCTCACTACTCCAATGCTTATCCTCTCTCAACCCAAAACCGATGGATCATCGACGACTCCAACGGCGAACGATCCAAATTCGTGTGCGGCAACTGGGCGGGTCACCTTCAGCCGATGCTTCCCGAAGGTCTGGACAAGCGGCCGTTGAAGGAGCTGGTGGCTCAAATCGTGAGCCACAAGTTCAATTGCGTGCGTCTGACGTACGCGATTTACATGTGGACTCGCTACATGGATCGCAGTGTGGGGAAAACCCTAGAGGAACTGGACATTCCGGAGGTGGTGGAAAGGATTGGGAAGAACAATGCGTGGGCGCTGAAGAAGACGCATGTGGAGGCGTTGGAAGAAGTGGTGCGGGAGCTTGGGAATCAGAAGGTGAAGGTGTTGCTGGACAATCATGTGAGCGAGCCCAAATGGTGCTGCGACGATGACGATGAGAATGGCTTCTTTCACGACAGGCATTTCGATCCCAACGAGTGGGTGACGGGCCTCAGTTTGGCAGCCCAACGCTTTTCTGGAAATTCTGCTGTACGTATTTTGTCGTTAATCCTGTTTTGTTTTGCATCCTCACGCATAAGGTTTAAGGACATTAAGCTGAATATCCCCATAGATTCAATAGTTTTGCATGGCGATAGCCTGTAGTCTTATTTAGGTATTACTTTTTCGAATAATTCAAAAATAAGAAAACAGAATTCATTTTGATATTAAAATAATAAAATTAATTATTTATTCCTTTTTTTTTTTTGGTTGCATTCTAAATGGGCCCAAAAGTTATTTGACATTAAACTGAAGTAGGGTTGAAGGCATGAAGCACATATCATTACCCTAGTAACGTTAATTAAAAAAAAAAAAACTTTTTTCTAAGGAACAAAAATTAAAAATACAATTCTAATTCTAACTACTGGGATTAAATTAAGTGATTTATTAAATTGATGAATGAGATTGAATATTGAGGGATGTATTGAAAGAATGTGTGGGGAGGATTCAAATCCCCAACTAACTACTGTTCATTGGGGTGGGCTGAAGTTTTGGGGAGGAAAAGATGGAAGGAGAAACACAGATTTGGGTTGAAAAAGGAACTATATTTTTCCTGACTTAAAGAGTAAAATTCTGCATAGATGATTGACTCATGAGCATCACATTTCAAAATTACTTTAGATTTTTTTTTTTTTTTACCAGCAAACTTGGGATTTAAACCTTCAAAATAGGAACTGACAGTAGTTGATTCGTCAACAGGTGGTGGCAATGAGCTTGAGGAATGAATTGCATGGTCCTCGTCAATACGAGGCCGATTGGTACACTTACATGAGCCAAGGAGCAACAGCAATTCACAAGGCGAACCCAAATGTTCTGGTGGTGGTCTCAGGACTGAACTACGACACCGAGCTTCAATTTTTAAAGACAAAGCCTCTTAACTTAGATGTGGGCAGGAAATTGGTATTTGAGACGCATTTGTATTCATGGTCTGGCATTGGAACGCTGAAGCTGAAAGATATCTGGACTAAGCAGCCATTGAACAGAATATGTGCCAGAACTGTTACAGGGATAGATGACAGAGCTGGGTTCCTTACTTTAGGCAAGAATGCCTTTCCTTTGATTTTTACGGAGTTCGGGTTCGACGAACAAGGTTCCACTGAAGCAGACAACAAGTTCTTGACTTGCCTCCAAACCTACCTTGTTGGGAGAGACGTGGATTGGGGCCTTTGGGCGTTGCAAGGCGGCTATTACCTAAGAGAAGACCAGGTCCAACTTGAGGAAACATTTGGTGTAATGGATGCCTCCTGGCAACATCTCAGGTTCCCAAACTTCACTCAATTGTTCCAACTTCTTCAAAGGAAGAATCAAGGTATGCCACTTGATACAGTGAACTTGGGAATAAGCCCCGCATTTTTTAAGTAGGATCTTTTAGATTCACTTGTTACGAATATAAGAGCACAAAGAAATAACTAGTCATGACAGAGCTTTAATAAAAAGACAGGTGACACAAATGAACATGAAAATGTTACCTACATCCAATAATCACAACTTAGTTTTTCCCCCTTAATTCTTTTCAAATATGCTTTTATAAAAGCACGAGGAATCAATTGATATATTTTCAACGTACTGCAGTGTTGTGCAGAGCCATCTTGTGTGCGGTTTAATCTAACTGTGTCTGTACTTATAATGCAGATCCTACTTCCAAACTCCCCTTTGCAAATATCTTGTATTACCCACTGGGTGGCCAGTGTGTCCTTGTTAACAAGAAGAATGAGCTTCAAGTGGGAGGTTGTGAGAACGAGATCAACAGATGGGTTCATGAAGATGGAGCTCAGATTCTCTTTAGTGGCACCAACAAATGCCTAACTGCATCCGGTGAAGGGCTTCCAGTGGTTGTGTCTGACGATAACGAGTGCCAGAGCAAGCAGAGTAGTTCTTGGAGGTCTGTGTCACTCTCAAAGCTTCACTTGGCTACCATGGACCAGCATGGTAAGCAATTGTGCTTGCACAAGGACTTAAACTCTTCAAGCATTGTGACAAGAAGATGCATCTGTGTAGAAGATGATTCTACTTGTTTGGACGATCCAAGAAGCCAGTGGTTCCAGTTTGTCCCCACCAATTTGTAGTTCCCACGAATTTGTATTGGGTCTCGCTTGTGGAAATGAGCTTTGGTTAGGGGCGATACAATGAGGAAGAATACGCTTTAGGTCAATCACACGACTTTTGAAATGCTTTGAACTATGAGCCACAGAATTGTAGCTTTATGGTCTTCCTTGATTACTCTACAAGGCACACTATGTAGATAATTCTTGTGGATTCATGCTCTCCTCGGTCTTCCTTGTTCCCTGTATCATGCATAGAGCAGGATTTCTTCTGCTTAACGTTAATAAATTATATCAATCCCAAGTCCCAACCCAATGTCCTGTACTCCTGTTGTTTGCTCGTTTACTTTAAAGTTGAAGGATCGTTCAATTATCACATAGAGACAACTTGCACGGAAAGTGAAGGGTGTGTATTGATCTGGATGGTCCCAAACTCAATTTGATTATAAAGTAGGACGAAAGAAAGAAATTAAGATTACAAAATAAATAAAGGGACAAGATAAGTTATATTAAACTTGATTATAAACATCAAGGGCCCGTTGACATGAGAGGGAAGACATGTAAGAGACGAATTTATTATTTTTCCAAGACAGAGAAATGGGAATCTTATCAGCAACGGATATGTCTAAAAAGAAGCTACCGTGTGGTCCTTGAAATGACCGGATAAGAGCTGTACAATAGCATGTTTAATTTATTCTTCATTTCATGTATAATGCGAAAGGTACACTCAGCAGTTTTTGTATTCTTCTTAATTAACCTTAAGAAAACTCGTCAAATAGTGATTGATGAAGACAAATGGGCCATTAATATTGTGATTATTAAAAATTCAATGATCGTACGTACTGGATGTATAATATAAACGCACGGATGAAGTATAAACATGCGTATTTGTTCTTTCATATTGCAAGAGGAAACTAGCAGAAAGCAGAAACAGAAAGCCTGGTCGCAGCTTGAGGTTTGTCACTATGGGGGAAGAAGCAAAAAGGTACATGATTATCTGCCTTAACTCCGTTAGGATGATTGTTTTTGAAATATCATCCTTACTTGAAAAGAGTCGTCAAGTCTTTTATATAGTTGGAATCTAGCTGGGTTGTCATGTTAATGGTTTCATGAGAAGTGTTGAAACACTGAATGCAGAATTGTGTTTGATCAGATATGCGGTAGTGACGGGAGCTAACAAGGGGCTAGGGTTTGGGATATGCAAGAAGTTGGCAGCAAGAGGGGTGAGGGTGGTGCTCACTGCAAGAGATCACAAGAGAGGATTGGAAGCAGTTGAGAAGCTCAAAGAGTTTGGAATGTCAGACTTTGTGGTGTTTCATCAGCTTGATGTCACCGACCCTTCAAGCATTGCTTCTTTGGCTTATTTCATCTCCACTGCCTTTGGCAAACTTGACATCCTCGTATGTTAATTATAAACACAATGACAATCAACCACCTCATAAAAGAACCAATACTAAATCAGAATTTTTTAGACATTTTCAGTGTTGATATATATATATATATATATATATATAAAATAAGTGTTGAATTTCAAAAATTAAATTATAATGCAATCTTGGTTTATTATTAACTTTGTTTACAAGGTTCTTAATTATCACTTTCCCATTGTTTTGCATTGTGTGTCTATATATATATATATATATATATTTTATTTTTACTAATGTTTTGCATTGTAGTTTTGTACATCAATTCAATGTTGGTGAACGTAAACCCGACTAACCTGATAAAGCCGGCCCAATCTACCCTACCATTTGGGGTTGGGCTGATTGTCACATGGGTATTAGGTTGCCTCAGTTTGGGCCAATTTAGGTTACAGGCCCATATAGTATATTATTCGAATGAGCAGCACAATATCTTGTTGGTGCCTTCGCTGCTCCGGTTCAGGGGCACAAGAATCATTCTCTCCTTTTCCTCAATATACTTTTTTATGATAAATTAAAATAATTTCATATGTTACTACGTTATTTTAAACATATGTATACTTACGGTTCAATTAAGCAGGCAGTGTCATATTTCAACAATATATTTGAATGATTTAATTTAATATATAAATCGATGTTTGACATATTTTGGTACAGGTGAACAACGCGGGAGTCTCTCCAGGTACGGTGAACGGCGAAGCTTTGTTCAGAAAAGTAAGCTCAGTCATTCACAAACATGCCCTTAAGAATACTTTGTATGAACTCTTTTTTTTTTTTTTATTTAAGATTCAAAAATATATTGATAAATTTTATAAAACTTGATAATAACTTTAGTCAAAAAATAATTCAATTAAAGAGTTTATCAATATTAAAAAAATTATTTTCTCAGCAATGTATCATTATCATCCATTAGTCAAATAGCAGATTAGCTATCAGTAGCGAGGATTGGGAGATGTGAAATTTGAAGAGAAGTATAAGCAATTTAAGCAAAGCATTATGTTTTCGTAAAAATAAAATTGGAAGTGTTGTTGCAGGTTAGTGGGGAGGAAATAGATTGGGATGAAATAGTAAAATGCAACGTGGAGATGTCAAAACTGTGCGTTGAGACCAACTACTTCGGTGCTGCTAGAGTGACTGAAGCCCTCCTCCCCATGCTTCACCTATCCCCTTCTCCCACCATTGTCAATGTCACCTCTCTTGCTGGACTCATCAAGGTACTTGTAATTTCATTCTTCGCTTTTAATTTTCAACTCTAATGATTTATGAATTGTGCGACTTGTTGATTTGATGTGTAGCACATAAAAAATGAGCGCACTCGAGAAGTACTGAGTGACTTGGAGAGTCTCACCAGAGAAAAACTAGACGAGGTGGTGAGTGAGTTCATGAAGGACTATGAAGAAGGAACGTGGAATGAAAAAGGATGGCCAACCATGGCCCCGGCCAATACAGTGGCCAAAACAGCCCTCAATGTGTACACCAGATTAATGGCTAACAAGTACCCGAGTTTCCGAGTTAACTCAGTGTCTCCAGGCTTCGTGAAGACTGATATGACTCACAACTATGGCTTCTCAACTGTTGATGAAGCTTCTGAACATATCCTCAGATTAGCTCTTCTGCCTCCCACAGGTCCCTCTGGTCTCTTCTTTGATAAGGACAAAGCCACTCCCTTGGAATAATATATCAGCTCTTATTTTGGTCTGCTAAGAATCAGCATGCATGTCTATATGCTTTTGTTTCAAATTAGTTATGTCTTCTCTTAATTCCACGGTTGAATCCTTATACTATGAAGCCATCTGGATGGAATAAAATCCTTCCCTTTTTTCCGTCTGCATGCACAAAAGGCATTCCTCCTACAAGTACATGTTTCTTCCAATTTTTTCTCAAGAGAAACTGAATCTTATATATATTAATCACAATAAAAGTTGGAACATGAAAACATTTTTTTTCAAAGTTTTTACACATGTATTTTGGTGCATGAAATGACCTTTCAGCCTAATGAGACCAACTTTTTTAAAGATTCATTGATTCAGAGTGAGCATTTTGATAAGATTTAATTAAAGAATATAATTTTGTTATTAATAGATGTAGAATCTAAAATAAAAATAAGTTTTAAACTTTTTTTAAAAATAAATATATTATTAAAAATTAAAAATTAAAAACTTTAAACCGGTACCGTTGAAATTCGATTTCACCAAGCTGGCTATTATTATTATTATTTTATTTATTTTTATTTTTTTTTTGCCAATGTCCAAACTAGCTTTTGTTGTGATGAAAAACAAATGGCGGATGTCGGAGGGAGCGCTGAAACCAAATCTGTTTCTTCCTTGACGTGGCCTTCAGCCTTCAGCCTTCAGCCTTCAGGGCTTAATTTCTTTAAACTTTAATATCTAAATTTGAGTAAAACACTTAATTTTCTTTTAACTCTGCCAACCTCCAACACTCCTCCATCACTCGTTGAATAGCCTAGCCTCACTATGCATCTTTTACTTTTGAGTTAAATGACAAATCAAACTATAAATTCAGAAATATCTAAAATTTTAAATTTATTTTTTTGCAGTGTTTCCTTTTAACGTTTCAAAATGATATAACATTGCCTTTACCAATAAAAAAAGTTAACTTTAATTATTACTTAATAAAAAATTATAAAAAAATTTATAATTTTTTTTTGGTTCTTGCCTATAATTTTCTTGTCCTTTTATGTATTCCATACAATTCAAAATACAGGCAGTTTTTTTAAAAAATATAAATAATAATAATGTCCTTATTCTCATAAAAATGTATGAGTGAGAGATATATTTACATAAAAATCTAGATGATAAATTAATACAATGGTAAAATGGGAAAAAATTACATGTATTGAGTTACTTATATTTTGAACTAAAATTAATTGAGAGAAAATACTTATATTTTGGATTAGAGGCAACATTATACCATTTTTAAAATTAACTTTTATTGGGTCTTTTTTTGTAATAATTTTTATTTACTAACAATTAAAATTAACTTTTATTAATGTAACGTTGCACCATTTTTGAAAGTTAAAAAAATATTGCATCAAAAAAGTTTAAGATTTTATTTTTAGTAATATTTTCAAAAAATCCGTGTATTTGCCCCCCACTTTTCTACTTGATTATTATAATAGTGTCACTAACTTGGATTTTAGGGTCATAAAACTTTTGATATTTAACCAATTTCAACTAATTTTTTTAATCTCATGAAAGTAATTAATGAGGTCATATAAAAATACCGGATGCAGTAATAATTAGTCAAATTGTCTAGAGACAAATAAAGCAAGGAATCCAATTTACTCACTCTATAAATTGTCTAGAGACAACAACAAATATTAATTTAAAAGTTACAGTAAACATAAATAACAAACTAATCCATATAATGATTGTAAAATAAATATTGTCGTTGATCGATAGTCATCCGTGTTGAGAAAGATCTTCAACTTTTTCTTTGAAGTGTTAGAAAATAATAAAGTATTTTCTCAGGTACATATTGCCTTTCTAACAAAAACATGTCATAGTGGGAAATGTGCATTATGGGATTGAAATGTGCATGGGATGAAGGCTTGAGAGAGTGCATGTTGCTGTGTGATAGTGTTGAAGCAATCTCTGCTATTACAGTAGGAAATATCGATCCACGTACATGAACATCATGATTTGATTTTGGAGGCTCGGGCCATCTTGCAAAGAGACTGGAATGTCAGAATTCAATTTATTCCAAGAAATGGTAATCTCGATGCTGATTGATTGGTGTCCTAAGATAGCATTCAACTCTGCTCCTGGACTTCACTTTCTCCAACCTGAGGAGATTTTCAGTGACGTATTCTTTGACCCTCCTTGAGCTAGTGTACCTATTTTTTTTAGCTTTGTTTTGTTTTCCCTTGTTTATCCAAAAAAGAAACATGTCATGGTAATCCATATGAAAGTTAAGTAGGAATTTTTTTTTTATTCCAGAACCTCACACACTAACACTTACTTTTTTAATAAAAAAATATAAAATATTTTTAATCGAATATCATTCCTTAATAAATTATTTATTTATTTTTAAATTAACCTTATTTTTTTATATTTATTCCTATTTAATAAGATATTTTATCTTAAAATAAATATAAAATAATTTATTTAATACAAGTACTTTAAAAAAAATAATGATTACGTTTTAAAAAATTAAAAATACTTCAAAATATCTCTTACATTGTGTAGTGGAGGGAGCATAGCTAGTACAATATTATTTGTTTAATTCAAGTGACTTTATGATGTGCTTAGGGGTGGGGTAATGTTGTATGTGCGGACCATTGAATGAAAGGTGTACATTAATTTGAAGATTGTCATTTAATTTCCTCCTATTCTCAAATTAAATGATGGTTTAATAATGAAACTTGAAATGGGAAGAAGCCCAGAACAGAGGCGTGAAACACGATTGATGAAGCGACTTTTGGTTTTTGCAGAGCAAAGCCAAAGCGTACAGAGACTCTGATTTAAATAAAAGATGCTCAGTTGCGTTCCCAAAAGTTATTCCCCATTAAGAAGCCAATCACAAGCATATTATGGCCTAAACCCTCGACCTAATTAAACTCGCACATGTGATTTCCAAGTGCTTCTTCTATCCTTCTTCCTTCCTTTCTTTTTCCCCTCTTTCGCTTTCTTTACTCTTGTTTGTCACGATTGTCACGGAAAATTTCAGAGAAAGCCACGTCAGAGGCGGTAGAATGCAACTCTGCAAGTTCTTATACGATGATATAGGACCACCAGTAGAAACACAGACCTTCCCCTTCATCCTTTCTGATTCTTTCTACTTCTTTTGCTCCTTTACCTTCGTATTGGATCCACTGGCACCATCAGTTTCGGGAATAACTTGATAACCCAGCAAAGTCTGGCCAATAAAGTGATCATCAATCTCGCGCTGATCAGTACATTATTTAAAGACACGAATAATATCCCCGGCTATCACTCAATATTTTAATCAGCTCAGGAACTAGCTAAAGCTATGGACCAGCGCGAGAGCACCAACAAGAAGGTACTATTCTCTTGTGCCATGAAAGGGGAATGGGGGCGAGTCATTGAAATGTACAAGGAGGACTCAACGTTTCACAAGGCCAGAATCACACGCTCCGGACACACTGCGTTGCACATTGCAGTCTCTGATGGCAAGGAGGACGTCGTGAGACAGATGGTGGACGTCATCAAGCCGCAGCAACCTCAAGAGGAACCTATCAAGGCTCTGCGAACTCACAATAATAGAAACAACACTGCATTGCATTTAGCCGCTTCAATGGGGAATGCCACCATGTGTCACATCATTGCCAGCGTCGAGCGTACCTTGGTGGACGATCGTAACGCTGACGGCGAGACGCCCCTCTTCTTGGCCGCTCTCCATGGCAGAAAGCAAGCTTTTCTCTGCCTCCATTCCATCCGAAACCCTCCCAACACTGACTCCCCCTTCTACGTTAACTGTAGGAGGAACGATGGTGACACTATCCTTCACTCTGCAATCAACGGTGACCACTTTGGTGCGTATATTCATTCATTCATAATTCGCCAATCTTCCACTAGCTATTATCTTGTTAATAATAATCAATTCTATGGTATATAAATATAGATCTTGCGTTACAAATCATTCATCTGTATAAAGATCTTGCGAATTGGGTTAACGAGAAAGGTCTATCTCCTCTGCATTTGCTAGCATCAAAGCCTTGCGCTTTCAAAAGCGGAAGCCGCCTCGGACGGATGGAAACCATCATTTATCACTGTATGTAACCACTTAAATAGTGCCATTATATTCTTCATGCATGATTAGTTAATTAAGGGAAAAAAAGCCTATTTGATTATGTTAATAGTATATGCACACCATCTGTGTGTCTTGAAGGTATGTATGTTGAGGAGCTTCAGCCACAGACATTACCAGGTGCAGCCAAGCACGGTGATAGCCATGGTTATCCTGACAACTACAATACATCGTGGAATGTTTTCAAGCTAATAAGAAAAGCGGTCGATGTTGGTATATAAATTTACATTCTAATCTTGCACCGTACATATAAAATTTTTGGTTCGATGTCTTGGCCAAGAACTTCTTGGCCGGATATAATTTCGACTTACATTATTGCGTTTTGTATTTCCAGTATTGGGCAAACCTTGTGAAGCAAATGCGGAAGATCCCGAAGCGGGAGCTCAGGCAAGCTCGTTATTTCCAGCTAATTACAGAACCTGTTGCCATTTGATCAAGTTCTTTTATCTGGTGCTTCTGATAATTCTCGGGAAAGGTATATATGTATGTGCGCGTGCGCGCGCGCGCATATTATGATGAGGCACAAGACACTTTTACTTTACATATGCTTATTATATATATATATTGAATTTTCCAAAGGATCTGACCAATTGAGGAAGATATATCGAAAAAAGGAGATCCATACAAGGTCTGCTCAAATAGTTAAACAACTTCTTCATTACGCTTCCTCGTATGAGTACGAGGATGATGGGAGCCACCCCGAAGAAGGGTATAGTACGACGTTGTCACAGGATGCCACCCCTGCCACATCAGTCAAACCTACAACTACAAGCACCGAGGACAAAAGTAAGGGTCAACATCATCTGATTAACTACGTGCTGTCACAACCACTAGCAATGAGCATGTGAAGATTCATTGCAGTGATGTACGTGTTTAATTGACATGCATTACATTTAAATTGTGCAGAAGATGAGCAGAATCCCAAAAGGGGGGCAATAACGGAGACTGCAATATTAGTGGCGGCAAAGAATGGAGTGATGGAAATAATAGAGAAAATTTTGGAGTTGTTTCCGGTGGCTATTCACGATCTGAATGAAGATAAGAAGAACATAGTGTTATTGGCAGTAGAACACAGGCAACCTCACGTGTACCAGTTCTTGCTGAAGAAGAATATTTATAAAGAAAGCCTATTCCATCAAGTGGACAAGCATGGAAACAGTGTGTTGCACCTCGCAGCCACACTTCGTGACTACAAGCCTTGGCTCATTCCCGGTGAAGCTCTTCAAATGCAATGGGAACTCAAGTGGTACAAGGTAATTAACAAGAATATAGACACACACAAATTATTTTTGGTTAAATATAAATCTGAATTCTGATGAGCTTCATGATCATGTAATTGTTGATGCAGTTTGTGAATGAGCCCATGCCGCCTGATTTCTTTGGGCGATACAACCTGAATAATGAAACCCCAGATGATATTTTCTCCAGAACTCACAAAGATCTCGTGAAAAGCGCCGCCGAGTGGCTGAACAAAACCTCAGAATCATGCTCGGTGGTGGCCGCACTAATTGCCACGGTGGCCTTCGCCACGGCAGCCACCGTGCCCGGCGGGGTGAAACAAGAGACCGGCCACCCGACACTGGAATATGAGCCGGGATTCCAACTGTTCGCCATCTCATCTCTCGTAGCCCTTGGCTTCTCCATCACGGCGGTGGTGATGTTCTTGTCCATAATGACGTCTCGATTTCAAGAGCAAAATTTTAACAAAGACTTGCCAAGGAAGTTACTGGTGGGATTGACGTCCTTGTTCATTTCGATTGCTTCCATGCTGGTGTCGTTCTGTGCGGGGCATTTCTTCGTGCTCAAGGATCAGCTTCATTATGTTGCTCTTCCCATATATTTGGTGACCTGCCTCCCCGTAACCCTGTTTGTGTTGGCACAATTTCCACTTTACTTTGATCTTTTATGGGCTACTTTTAAGCATGTTCCACAGCGCAGTTACAGGACCTCTTAACAGATCAGGTCTTGACTTCCTAGGTCTGCTTGGGTACTTTAATTATATTTATTGACTTGATTAGTTTACATTCAACACTTAAGATTATCCATATGTGCTGCTTTTATTGACTTGATGATAGCATTATTATGGGAGGAATGACAGTTAGATGTAAAAAAAAAAAATTAATGACAATTAAGTTAGCAATAAAATTTCTTAAAAATGAATGATAATATCAATTCAAATTATCACAAATTCAAAAATTTTAATAGTAGATAAGACATTTAAATTTTAGATGCGTAACTCAAATTTTTATTTTGTAATTGCCTAAATTGATATTTATAATTTATTTTTTAAAAAAATTAACGAGAATCTAATTAATTATCATTAATTTAATTTCTTATAACCTTATTGTCATTCTTCCATTATCACACACACGCGCAGGAATTTACACTGGCCACAAACTAAAGTTGGATTACATGAGGTGGCAAGTTAGTTTGAATTTGGGATTTGCAGCAACGTTTTCAGCGTAGAACAGATGACAAGTACAAGTGAGGCTGGCCATGTTGGAGTTGGCCTTCTACCCTTGTAAAGGAGAACAGGGGAGGGACCACCGAACAGAAAGAAAGGAAGGAGAATGAAAAAAAAGAACCAAAACATGAAGTTAAAATCTTTTTTAATATTCAAACTCAAGCTTAATCTTTATCAAAACCCATGCTCTAGCACACCCAAATACTCTCAAGAAGTCCAGAATGGCAGCCAAAGTCAAAAATGGGTCCTATATACTCTAAAACTTAACTTTATTAATTAAATAAAATGTTTCGTTTTACTGTCGCGTTAAAATTTGCGACACAAAATCACAACTTTGGGACAACTTTAATAATTTTGCATCGTTTTTGCTGTTAATGAAACTTAATCTTTTTGTACTTAAGTTCTTCATTCAAAAGCCTTCCAAAAGTATCAACAAAAGTCTAGAAATGCATCCAACCAGACCTTAAACTAAAATATCAATAAATTATGTTCAAAATACCAAAATAGAGCCATGGTTTAAATTTCTAAAACAATATGCACATTTTTTTAACTTAAATATTCAAAATATGTACAATTATGCCAGAATATATTAAAAAATTAAGGAAAATGTGCTCAAATGATATAAAATTCTAGATGTTAACACACCCTCAAATTTAAACTTTGACTCATCCTCAAGTAAAACAAGTAGTAGAATAGCTTGATTGATCAATTATCCACCTACTAAACATGTATGAAAATATCTTTACTAATTACTCAAAATATACATCAATGAAGACAGCAGTAGAGTATAAAGGAATGCTTGGTTCACAAATTAAAATCATGCTTTCCACCAATTTAAAAATGTGTGTGTGTGAGACCAAAAAACAATTCTCTTGTAGCTATCAAGTCAAAACATAGCAATTCAATATGTATAAAACAATCTCAATATGGAGACTTCATATGCAAAAACTCTTCCTCTCTCTCCACTAAAATATCACTTCATATAATCTAAAATCAATGAGACTTTGTAAGCTTGTAGTGTAGCCAAATGTTTTAGACTAATTGAAAAAAAAGGATAAATGAAATATAAAGAACTTTAGATAAATGACAATGAAAAATAAACTCTACTATCTTTATTAGCCAAATATCTTCTCCCAAAATTATCTCAAATATCATTTCTTGTATTCAAAATTTATTGAGATTGAAACTCTTTTTTTTTTCTCATTTCAAATTTTTCTCTTTTTTTATACAATATATTTTATTAGATATATATTTTTTTCTTTTTTTAATAGGAGTACAATTTTTGGTATTCGATACATCATTTACATTGCCCACACCCAAATTTGCACAAACAAAACTTCTTTTAACAAACAAACCAATTCTCACTGCTAACATCACTTCATCACTTATCTCAAGAATAGGTAATTCATAGTTTTTCAAGTTATAAAGATTAGAATCTAATATGGGTTTCAAAAAGAAAATTTACATGATTTTTTAATTCAAGGCTCAAAAGGGGTTCAAGTGAAAATAATATAATAAGTAGAATTGAAAGGCTCAAATGCATTTGAAAGAATATCCAAATTATTTTTCAAAATAATGTGAAGTAATTAAATTGCCTTAAGAGATTCCAAAATAGTTTCTAGAGTCTCTCAATTGAGAAAGTGAATACACATCAATTTGCCAAAGTTTTCCTAATATAGACATTTAAATCATTTTCTAATTCTAAAGTGTAAAAGAAAATTTTACAAATTGTTAAAAAATAAACTTTAACATTGGAAATCAAGCATATATACCAAAATATTGAACATAATTTTCTATAAAATATACAATCTAAGCAATTTTTTATTATTGAATTATATATTCAGTTTAACAGATAATTTATCAATTTAACTCAAATCTCAAAAAAAAAAGAATAGCAAAATTCAAATTTTTAAAATTGAATTTCATGCCAAATCAACTAAAATATTGTCCTGCCGGCTCATCTTTAAGTCTTGAGTGGCCGGAATTCTCGACCACTCCGCCGGGCACATTGGCTGTTGTGGCGAAGGCCACCCAGGCAACTAGTGTGGCCATTACCGAGCATGATTAATTCTGAGGTTTTGTTCAGCCACCCGGAGGCGGTTTTCACTAGATCCTTGTGAGTTATGGTGAACACATCATCTGGGTTTCAGGTTGTATCGGTCTAAGAAACCAGGCTGCATCGGCTCCTTCACAAACTGCATTAAGCTCGTCAGATCAGATATATGTCGTACAAAAAAAAAAAAAAAACTAATTTATATGCCCGTGCGTTCGTCTGTGTCCATATTCTTGTTAATTACCTTGTACCACTTGAGTTCCCATTGCATTTGAAGAGCTTGACCGGGAATGAGCCAAGGCTTGTGGTCACGGAGTGTGGCTGCCAGGCGCAACGCACTGTTTCCATATCCGTGTCCACTTGATGGAATAGGCTTTCTTTGTAAATATTCTTCTTCAGCAAGAACTGGTACACGTGAGGTTGCCTGTATTCTACAACCAATAACACTGTACATGTTCTTCTTATCTTCATTCAGATCGTGAATAGCCCCCGGAAACAACTCTACAATCTTCTCTATTATTTCCATCACACCATTCTTTGCCGCCACTAACATTGCAGTATCCGTCCCCCTCCTTTTCTTCTCATGTTCCGCACAATTGTATGTCAAACACGTAATAATACTAATAGTTACTGAAATTAATCTTCAAATGCTAGTTACAGCACATAGTTAGATAATAATGATGATCTTTACTCTTGGTATTTGTAGTTGTAGGTTCGACTGATGTGGCAAGGGTCTGTGACCACGTCGTATTCCCATCATACACGTACTCGTACTCGTTGGGGCTGTTCCCATCATCCTCGTCTTCATACAAGGAAGCGCAACGAAGAAGTTGTTCGACTATTTGAACAGGCCATGCAGGGGTCTCCTCTTTTCGATATATCTTCCTCAATTGGTCAGATCCTGTGGTAAATTCAATATATATATATATATATATATATATAATAAGCATATATAAATTACAAGTGTCGTGTGCCTCATCATAAGCACGCACGCACACACACACACACACACACACACACACACACACCTTTCCCCAGAATAATCAGAAACTCCAGATAAAAGAACTTGATCAAATGGCGACAGGTTTTGTAATTAGCGGGAAATAGTGAGTTTGCCTGAGCTCCCGCTTCAGGATCTTCCGCATTTGCTTCAACAGGTTTGCGCACTACTGAAAATACGAAACACAATAATCTAAGTCGAAATTGCATCTGCCAACAAGTTCTTTGCAAGGGCATCCAACGAAAGATTTTATATTGTTTAAATACACACTCATCAGTTAATATATTATTCAAAAATACAATGTGTTATTTTTTTAATTATTATATAATACAAAATATATGAAAAATGTTTATTATATTATGTTTCATAAATATTTTTAATTTAAATTAATTTAAAGTGAATGTAATTGAAATCTTAAATAATTTATATTTTATTTAAAATTTTCTTAGAATATATATATATATATATATTTATAAATATTATAAATTTAGGTATTATTTAAAATATACATTTTAACTAGTTAACATTTTTAAAATTTAAATCTTTTTATTATCAATTAATTATTAATAATTTTAAAGTTACTATTAATGCTAGTAAAGTTTTAATATTAAATTATTTTTATCATATTAAAAAAATTTAGGAGTAACATGTGATAAAGGATAAAAAAAGTAATTATTTTTATGGGTGAGGAACAAAATTCCCTCCCTAATATTAGAGAGAGATTTTATCCCTTACTAATTCCTCGCTCATTTTAGAAAGGAAATAAATCTCTTGTTAATTTTCTATGCTAAATGTGGTTTTTAGGGACGTTAAAAGTGTTTCTTGTTAATTTCTCATTTTTAGTTAGGAATACAATGGCCTTGCTAATATTGTACTGGGCGATCTCAAATTGCAACTTTTCATTAAATATCTCCCTAATTTAATCTTTTTGAGAGGAATAAAAAATTTGTCTCTAAATTCTCTCTAAATCGCATTTTTGTAGCAGGCCGGTCTAAGATTAATTAGAATGTGAATTTATTACCAAGAGCGGCGATCGCTTTTCTTGTTAGCCGGAAAGCATATTGTAGTTATGAGGACAATCATGGCATGGCTATCACTGTGCATGGGTGCAGCAGGGCATGTCTGTAGTTCGCCCTCTGGATTTTCTTCCTGAAGCTCCTCAACATATATACCTTCAAGACAAACAGACAGACACATAGAGATGGCATGCGTATATTGTTAAGGGTTCAAGCTAGGGCAAATTTACACTGAAATTTTTTCGTTAAATGCGCTTGGTATTCTAAGCTTTTTGTTATAATAATGCCTTCCTTCCTTTTAAAAGGAGTGCAATTTTACCCCATTGTTAACCCATATGCATGTTGACCATTAAAGGAACAATGTTGACCAATAAAATCCCGTGTGGCAAGATATATTTGCTGAGAGGGACACAAGATGGGATCCACATGGATTTTATTTCTTTGTTCCTCTAAATTCAAACAATATTCAGAAGACCAAATCAATAAGCCTCACAATCATTAGCAATGCTGAACTTTTTTCACAATCTCCAGCCTCATCTCCTCTTTCACTTCTTTAATTACACATTCCTTCAAGCTCTTTCTTGAACCCAGAAAAAAGAAAATTTCAAAATTCCCAAGAAACAAACAGGTATGGTCATCGAGAAGAAGAGAGAAGGGGAATGAGAGTAACCAAACTCCAGGTGGCCACCGGGCAAAGTGAAGGTAGAGTTGTCAACGGAGGAGAGACGCCGACCTAGGGGTACACAAATCTTCTCTTCAGAAAGAACAGTGCCATGATGCCCACCCTCGGCACCGGCACTGCCGCGTCAAAGCAAAAGGATGAGGGACCCCATTGTTAGTCGATGCTAGTGAGAGTAAGGACTGAGGAGTGAGGAGTAGGGGAAGCAGGAGAATTTGGACGAAGAAGGAGGGAAAGATGAAAATAAGAGAGAGTCGTGTGAACGGGGAAGATGACACGTGGGGTCTAGTCACATGCTTAACTTGCCACATGTAAATCTGATAGTCAAACCAAGGATTTTAACAGTCAACGTTGCTTTAATTTGGGTTAGAACAGACATTGCACACATTTTAAAAGTTAAAGGTAATATTGTTCTAATAAAAAGTTTAAGATACTAAGTGTACCTAATGAAAAAGTTTAAGGTAAATTTATATTTTAACCCTATTATTAATTGACATAATCAAATAGGCTTTTTTCCTTAATTAACTACCCATGCATGACATGATACTTTTTAAATGGTTACATACAGCGATAAATGATGGCTTCCATCCGTCCGACGCGGCTTCCGCTTCTGAAAGCAAATGCAGAGGAGATAACCCTTCCTCGTTAACCTAACTCGCCAGCTCTTCATACAGATGAATGATTTGAAACGCAAGATCCATATATATATGTATAGATGTCATAATAGAATTGATTTTTATAAACAACATATATAATAGCTGCGTGGAAGGAGTGGCGAATTATGAAGGAATATACGTACGTACCAAAGTAGTCACCGTTGATTGCAGAGTGAAGGATAGTGTCACCATTATTCCCTCTACAATTATTGTAACAGGGGGCGGCGGTTCTGATTGGGTTTCGGATGAAATGGAGGCGGAGAAAAGCTTGTTTTCCGCCATGGAGAGCGGCCAAGAAGAGAGGCTTCTCGCCGTCATCGTTACGATCGTCCACCGAGGTAGGCTCGACGCTGGCAATGATGTGACACGTGGGGTGGCATTCCCCATTGAAGCTGCTAAATGCAATGCAGTGTTGTTTCTATTATTGTGAGTTCGCAGAGAACCTATATACTTTTGAGAGATGACGTCCACCATCTGCCTCACCACGTCCTCCTTGCCATCTGAGGCTGCAATGTGCAACGCGTTGTGTTTCCTGAGCGAGTAATTCTGGTCCCGTGAAGCCTCGCGTCTTTCTTGTACATTTCAATGACCTTCCGCCATTCCCTTTTCATGGCACACCAGAATAGTTCCTTCTTCTTGTTCTCGTCGTTCTCCATATATTGCTATAGCTAGTTTGTTCCGTTACTATTCCATCACCGTGATTAGCTTTGCTTGGGATCCATCCTTTAAATACTCACTCATGACCAGCAAGAGATTGACCGTCACTTCATCATTCTCCACAGTTTTTCTTGGTTTCGAGTTCTTCCCCCAACAGATCATGGCGCCGGTGAATAATCCAACTCGTACAAAATATCAAAGCACAAGAATATATATTACAAGTGTTTCTAATGATTGCAAGTATATGTGTATACATAGATCATATAAACCCGCATGTCAACAGGTTTCAGACAAGCTAAGTATACGTATAATAGATCCCATGTAAGCAATACCACCTTTTCCATTTCACTTGCTAGCCGTTTCATTCAAGTTATCAAATTGGAATATAAATTGGATAGTTATAATTAAGTGATTAAAAAAGCAGATTGTTACGTAACTATTTGTGTTTATTATGTGTCACAAAAGCCACTGTGGGACATCCGGGAGTAGCATCTTTATATGCGTGTTTGTTTAAGTTATCCGTACTGAGAGGGGAACAATCGTGGAATACAAGAGTGAAAAAAGTGAGAGGGAATAAATTAAAGGAAGGACATGTGGCACATGGAATTGGAAAGTACAGAGGCCTCCTTTTGGTTTGGGACTTGGCATGCAGTTTAATTAGTAATTGAAGTGTTGTTAGTTGCGTATTTAAGCACATGCTACGCTAATCACAGTCCGTATATGCTTCATTGCTTTGTTTTACCTTTCCTAATTGGGAACAGCCTTTTAACTGTCATCACCATCTTTTATTTAATTCAGAGTTGAGACACAACCTTTACTCTTTTGGCAAAACACGCTTAATCAATTGTGTTACACGCCTCTGGGTATCCTCCATCCAATTTGAAGTTTAATGGGAGAATGACCTTTTCCTTAGCTTATAATTAGGTAAATTAAAATTTGAAAACATCTAAAATATACAAGTCTAATTAAAAATTAAAATAGTATAAACATAAAGGAAACTGATGCATGAAGAAATTAATAAGATATATACATGGTTTATAATGCACGATATTTGCTACAGATGAGTATGAATATATAAATGTGATCCAGCTTTTAATCTTATTAATCCAGAAAAACGGGAAAGAGGGGGGGGCGTTCGGCATTTGTGCTTTTAATGCCGACAAAGATGGTAATTAAATCAAAGTCGTCACTTGAATAATAATTGAATTTTTTTCAAAAATAATTGAATTGAAAGCTATCGGTGTTATAGTGGGGTCGATATTTGTAAAATTAAAAACTAAGCCACCAATCACTCTTGTGTAAGGGTGATTAAAAGTAAATACAGGTGTGGGGATGATCTGGTTCTTCAAGTTGATTGCTCTTGTCCGGGATCTAGATTTTGGAATGGCCTCAAACAGTCTGGTGACTTTGGTTTCTGGACTGGAACGAGCAACAAGACCAACTGAGCAAGAGGTCCAGGTGTGGCCCAATATACCATTAGGGTCAATTTTGAGTCTATCTATAGGTCCAAGTGTCATCCATCCTTTTTAACCCCAGTTGAGACACGAATTATCAATTCACCCATAATCAATCTTTATTAAATTTTTGGAATATTATACTGTTTATGTGCGCCTCTATTGGGCTCCTTGGAGCAAGATCCTAGTTAAGAGTGATTTACTTTGAAATTTACCTAAATAGCTGTTATGTTTTAGCTAGGGGTGTTAATGTTAAGTCTCTCATCTTTTAGTGGACTTTCTCTAGCGTTGTCAGCCACTTCATGATTATCCTCCCTAAATTGCTTTGGGTTCTCGGAGGAGGAGTTCATAATGTTGCTATTTCCTCCCCTGGCCATCTCTTCTTGTATCATCCCTCACCCCTTCTGATTCCCCTCCTCTTTATTTCTCCTTTCCTGCATAGCTTCCTGGTGCTTGGTAGGAAGTTCCTGCCGACTACATTTATCCAAGCAAGCGCCTCTATAGTTTCTCACAATAAAAACAAATAAGATGAAGCCCCTCATATTCAATAAAATATTTATTTCCAAAAATTTTGACAAAGAATTTCAACCTCTTCTATAGATCAAGTTCAATGCCAATTCTAGCAAACCTACCTCTTTCACTTGTATGAGTGATCATATCAATTTTCAGAGTCAACCCAATGCTAGAACCTATATATCTTCTTCAACGCAGCCGCATTGGAAAATTCAAACTATAATAATGGAATCTTAACCCACTTTGCAATCTTCTTTTGATATTCATCATTCAAAAGATCAGAATTTAATCTCCATTTTTAAATTATCAAATGATGATCACCAGTTGTTTATAGACCTTTTTAATAAATATAGTTCATGCCTTCTTTAGTTTCAAATAAGACTACAAAAAACCATTATCTACATCTCTAGTCTTAAATTGCTTTGATATATTCCACAAATTCACCAAACTTCTCTTCATGACCCAAAGAGGAATATTTTTGCCCAACAATTTTATAATAAGTGAGTTTCTCCATGGTGCACACCACAAGTCATATTCCTCTTGAAAGATCTCCACTGCCACACAGTCTTCATCATATTCGAGTCTTCCTCCAGAGCCTGACTCTGAGACTTACCATTAAAATTTGTAAAAAAGCATTTCAAACCATCAATGTAGTCTTTCCAAGTATCATCAAACACACAACTGTCCTTGATATCTTTTGATCCAGTCTCCATATTCAAACCTAGTAATTTATCTTTGAAAGAAAAATCATTCTCCAAACTACTAGGTACAGTCTTTGCCGTCATTCTCAACCCTCACTGTCTCCTTCCTTCTCCTATATAACAACTCCACCACCAATACTCTTGGACTTGCTCATCGCCTTAAATAGTGGCAGAACCAGCCCTTGAATTCCCGGGGGGGGGGGAGAAGTTTTTTTAGATCAATATATATATATATATATATGTTATTAATATTAATTTTTTACAACTTTAAAAACTAAATAAAAATGATAATAAAATCAAAATTTAAAGCGCATATATACAGTGTATTTTTAATAAAATCATATGATTTTTGACTCATCATTTAATCTATAACTCTTTCTTATATTTAATATTTTTAATTTAAAATCCAATTATTCTTATTTTATTGAAAAAATAAATTAAATATAAATTTAATACCTATATTTTTTTCAACAATAAATTATGTAAAATTATGTACCACCAGATATTGATGATTTGTAGAGAATAGTATAAATATTCAAGTTTTATTAACAAGTTAAATCAATATATATAAGATATAAATTTAAAAAATATTTGGCATAGATAGAATAATCTTAATTAATATTTTTAGTAAATTAAATTAAAAAGTATATATCAATGCAAATGCTCAATTTTTATAATAATTTATATGTGTTTTTTGAAATGATTTACTTGAAAGAAAAAAGAATGTATAACTACTAATATATAGAAAGGGGAACCAAAGGAGAAATTGACGGGATGAAGGCTTCAGCATTAATAGCATTTCATATAAATACATACAGACACAATAATATGCGCAGGCGCATAAAGGTTGAGGGGGGGCCCTCACAATAAACGTAGGTCCACCCTTAGTTCTAAAAGTCTTTTAATTGTCATTAAATATGTCTTATAATAAAAATTTTTTAATTTTATTCCTATTAAAATTAAAAAAAAAAAGAAATGTATACAACATACAATGTGATATAAAATTAAATTTATAACAATGATAAAATTAGAAAATTGTAATAAATAATTCTCAATGTGCCTTATATAAGCTCCAAATTTTTTCCTAAAGTGTGCCCTATAACAGGGATAAAGAAGTAATTTTATTTTTTTGGGGTAACATACTCTTTTCTTTTGTTAGCAAATACACTCTAAGTGAAAGTCTTGTTGTCCACCTGTACTAGTCATCTAGTTAACTTGGACCTTTATATACACTCTTTTTATCCTTAATGTTATTTGGTATTTATATAAAAAGAAGAGTCTTGTTGTCGTGGCAGGGATCGCTCCCTTCCATGCAGGATCCTCTCGTGCGAGTCCTTCACACACAGCCTGTATCCGTGTATCGTTCATTGGTTCTCCTTCTCTCCAGTGTATCTTATCTTATCCAATTTGTCATATCCAATAATTCAATAAATTTTTCCATGAGTTGAATAAGTAGTGACATCATATTTAATTATTAATCTGGAACGTGTCCAATGTAATAGGCACACCTATCCCAACAAGCCCAATAAATCAGAGCTACCTCATAAAAAAAAAAAAGAAGTTTAACCGTGAATATCTTCTTTCAGTTCACACGCCCACATACTCTCTTTGATTTTTAACGTAAAGAAAAATTTGACCGATTAACATTTTTTTTCTAATTTTATTTCTTATCTATTTTTATCCCTTGATTCCAAAACAATAATTTATATGATTGGCAAATATAAATGAAGGTAAAATTGAAAAATTAGATATTATTATTTATTAAAAAACTGTATATTTTTTATTGATTAAGGAACGACTAGCGAGGGTGTATGCATGCATATATTGCAATCGATTTTTTTAAACATTGATTATCTCGTACCTTCCTACATGGATAGGGCTGGATTTGGCTTGGTTAGAATGAATGAGGGCTGGCTGGCTTGGCAGGGGCAATGGCTTTGGTTGCACTTGTAGCTCAAAATCGAGTCCAACGGGGTTGTTGCAGAAATAAACTTACTGTTGGAAGTGAGAGACAATCAATGGCTGCCAATGTTTTCAGACTTGAATTGGCCAGAATTGTTGAAATAGTTGGACCATCACTTGCTGAAGAAAGCGATTTAGTTCAATTATTTACCTTATTTAAGAGGTTGGCCAACCTTAAATCAAGTGATTTTTAAACATCTAGAAAAAAGATTGAAACCGAAAGCAAGTTTTTAGGGGTCAAAAGCGAGTTTTAGATGGGGCAAAATTAATATTTTAAAAATTTAAACCCTTCATTCTTACTTTTGAGACAATCAATCACATCTCTCACTTGAAAAACAAGTTCAAGTTTAGTGTTATCATGATGATGACCATTCAAACAATTTAATCTAGATAATTTAAAATTTAAATTATTAATTTTTATTTTTATTTTATATTTATTAAAATAAAAATTATAAAAAATTGTTTATTACTAATGGGACAATTTAAATTTAATCTAGATTATTCAAACTTAATATTTAAATTTTTTATAATTTTATAAATTCACTGTTGAAATAATTCAAATTTAAAAATTTTAATTTATGTTTTTTTAAAAATATATTTTCTAAAATTACCCATTAAAATATTATCTTTAGTTTAAATATTATATTTATAAAAATAAATTTTTAAAAAATAATATTAAATTTAAACTATTCAATGATTAATTTATAAAAAGTAAAAAAAAAATTAATATTATATTGAATCATCTAAATTAAAATTTTATTATAAAAACTATTTATTAATTAAAATTTATAAATTTTTATTTTAATTATATAAATAAAATTACATAGGAACTTTAAATTTTTATAAATTATAAATTTTTATTTTAATCTGGACGGCCAGCACGGAAGATGGACCCACTCGCACTCTCGCTTCTCAGTCTTCACTCTTCTTACATCCCAGTCTGGCTTCTCAGTTCTCACCCTCAGGCTGCTATTGGAACGGAGTCGGACGGCGTCGATTGGCTCGGTCTTCTTCTTCATTCCTCGTCTTCTTCCTCGATCGGCCTTATCTTGCCCGGTGGGATTTCACTCGCATTTATATCTCTCCCTAAATTAGCCTAATCTCTGTAGTCCTACTTCTTGCTTTATTCAAATGGGACCTTACTTCTTGGGCTTTTCTTCATATAAGGACTTGCTTGGTTTGGTTCAGTGAGGAGGAGGCCAAAAAGAAAATATTCTCTGTTTCTACTACCACGTATACTTGTTTTGGTGCCCTGATTTCCGAAGAGCTTTCTTAAAAGGTTAAATGTAACCGTTTTCCTTTGTTATATTAAAATGGAGGCTTTTTCTTCTTCATCCTTTATTTCTGTTGGTGTTTATGTCTTGCTTCACGAAAATAGTTTATCCCAGCTGTACCTGAGTTATCAAAGTCTTAAAGTGAATACTCTTTTTATGCTTCAATGAAGAGGTAGTTCCTTCGAGTTTGGTGCTTTAATTCCTAGGTCTATTTTATGAAATCTTGATTTCATTCAATAATTGAAACAACACCCTTCTATTATTGGTGACGAGGAATTGTCCTTCTTCTGTGTCATTGTTAATGTTTGATTCATAAAGCTTAACATGTTCATCTTATTACAATTCGAGATAAATATTGTGCAGGGGAATTATAATGATGTTTAATGGGCAAAAGTTTGTTCTACGTTAAGTTATACTGTAACTTATGGAGGACATAATATGTTCTACATGGATCCATGGCTATTTCAATTTTTACATCTGCCGCTACAACCAGATGACTTTGACATTTGGCAGGATACTTTGCTTGAACTATGCTTTAAAATGTTCATGTAGGTATAAAACTCTCAGTAGTGGTGCATGCAACAGAACCAAGAACCGGCTTAATAGTGTCCTGCTTCTATTTATAATTATGGTTGACTTCTGTCTGTACTGGTTTTAGTTGGTTCGCTGGGACTTCTTACTTACATTATTCTGAAGAAGGTCGCAGAAGTTATTGCTGCTATGAAATGCAGATTTTTTTTTTCTATTTTTTCAACCTTTGAAACATCATTTAGATATTAGTTATTGCTGCTATATTCTCTTCTTTGATTAACTTTCTGTTTCTGTCTACTTTTGATTTATATTACTGTGTTTGTGGATTTTGTATTGTTGTACTTGTGAACTTGTGGTGTTGTTCTATTAATGACTTGATTAGAATATGTTGTGGTGCTTTTGTTGTATTAATGACTTGTGACGTTGTTGTATTGTTGTATTTTATTTCTTATATATGTAGTTATATATATATATATATTATTTTTTATTTAATTATTAGGTTACCCATTCAACTGTTGATCCAACTGGTTAAACCATGAGACCTATGACCTCTTGACATTTGCGGTTCATTGTTTGGTCCCGGTTTTAAAACATTGGTGGCCGCAGCCCACTATTTTGGCTACAGAGACTAGGGAAAGCCAGGGGTGACATCAGGGTGTTCAGTGCTGCTGCTGCAAGTCAGTGAAGTCACCACTGGCTGAGGCTTGGCGGAGAAGAGGGAATCGACACCAGAGGTGACTGCAGTGACAGAGATAATAGACTTCATAGTGCAAGAATTTTAAGATCCTTCCTCAAACATATTTCTTGGCTTCTTTAAGCTGAATCCTCTACTCGCTGAAGTGACCAATATGGTGATTCCTCATCTAAAAGGCCTTGCCCTGCATTCCTCTTGGATAAGAGTGTACACTAGCACGAGGTGATCTTTCTTTTCTTATTACTGCCAGCATCCATCCATGCCCTATAGATAGTTTGCTCCTTCATGTGTAATTTACTCCATTTCTTCTCTCCAATTGAGAAATTTAACAATGGGAAGCAAAATTATGGGCATAAATAGCCCAGGAGTAGCACTCTCTTTCTTTTGTTAGGGCCTGAGAGAGCCTTCGATACTAGAGAGATTCTCTAGTCTTCTTCATTTGATTTTGAGATGAAATGTATAGGGGGAATTCACATCACCTTTCTGCCCTAACCATGGGTCTTTTCACTTCTATACTACTTTATTCAATTCTATTTGGAGTAACCCTACCATTTCACATCTCTCTGTCTCTTCTTTATAATCTAAATAATAAACTTGTGTATTGAGAATGGGTTAAGCTGCTGTAAATTTATCCCTGAAATTTACCGAGCTCTTAAAAATCCAAAGCACTGAACTAAAATGTTTAAAAGATTAGAAGCTCAATAAATGACATGATGACTATGTAAAGATAATAAAGCTACAGTTATAGAAAAGATCATAGTGAACATACTGGGAGAAAGCATTAGACGATGCTAAATTCATCTTAGGCACGTTCAGAGGTGATTAAGTTGCATTTATACCTCTTACAATCTCATGGATCAGGTCCTACAAATTGGTTCATGGTTAAAGGGGTATAAACTAATGCCAATCATAAGCACCTAAATAGAGGTTAAGATTCTGCTCTGCTGATATGGAATCTCATGTTGTGGAGTAAGACTTCATTATTTGTCAGTGTGGAACCATTGCTAAGTCCTAAATACTCAACAAACTGTGACTGAATGGCATGATTGTGCCATTATGCATCAAAGAAGCACAATGGAAGATGCATGGGCCATCTTTTTGCCTCTATCTTTTATTAATTTATCTGATTGTTGTGTTATGTTTAATTTATTTTTTGTTAATTTTCATCAGGACTCAACTTTGCAAGCCTGCCAAGGTTTTCTTTTGCCGGGCAAAAAGTGGTAAGCGTTTGTTTGCTGACTTTAAAATTTTGACGGAGGTTTGGTTTTAATGTATTAAGTAGAGTCCATTCACGATATTGATCTTTGGCACAGATGGGTCATTGAAGTCAATGCCTCCAACCCTGTTAGCAGCAGAAAAGGAAGAAGCAAAGGCTGTGTTAACTTTGTTTTTGAAGAAACAAGGCTTGAGTAATGCAGTTGCAGCAAGAACCATCAACAAGTCAGATATTTTCATTGATCACCTTGTATCAAAGATTCACTCTAAACATAAATCTCGGTACCTAGTAGGTTCGATTGCAACATTATTTAGTTTTTCTGTTTCATATCGTTTTATTTCCATTCAATCCTAAGAATCACAATCTCCTTGACATGAACAGGAAGAGAACTTACAACTCTTGAGATTAGAGATGCTTTGATTCCTTATCTTGAATCCCTTTTTGAAGAATATGGAGACATTTTGATGGATTTTGTGGAAAACTATCCAAACCCACCTGTCAAGGAAAAGCCTACGCCAATCTCTATCCCTAGTTCATTGGTGAAATCGAAGAAGACGAAAGCCATGTCTCGAGCAAGCGAGGTAGACCCAGCTGGCAAGCTTCGTCCTCATATTGTCTATCTATTGGAGTTTGGCATGAATATTGAGCAGATCAAGAGTATCACTCGAAGATTTCCTTCCTTTGCCTATTATAGCTTAGATGGAAAAATCAAACCAGTAGTTGAATTTCTTTTAGAACTTGGAGTTCCAAAAGAAGACATTCCCATCATTCTCACTAAAAGGCCTCAGTTGTGTGGTATCAGTCTCTCTGAGAATCTCAAACCTACCATGAAGTTCTTGGAAACCCTGGGTGTAGACAAGCAGCAATGGGCCAAGGTGATATACAGATTTCCAGCTCTTCTAACTTATAGCAAGCAAAAGGTGAAAACAAGTGTGGAGTTCCTCTATGAAATAGGTCTTTCAGAGGAGAACATAGGTAAAATCTTAACTCGCTTCCCCAATATTATCAGTTACAATGTGGAAGGCAAGCTACGACCAACAGCAAATTACTTTCGTTCCCTGGGAGTTGATGTTGGTATTCTTCTATTTCGATGTCCACAAAATTTTGGTCTTAGCATTGATGCTAATCTAAAGCCTGTGACGGGATTTTTCTTAGAGAAAGGATACACAGTACAGGAAGTTGGGACCATGATTTCAAGATATGGATCATTGTATACATTTAGCCTGGCAGATAATTTGATTCCAAAGTGGGAATTTTTTGTGACTATGGACTACCCCAAATCAGAGCTGGTTAAGTTCCCTCAGTTTTTTGGTTACAGTTTGGAAGAGAGGATTAAACGGAGATATGCTCTAATGAAAGAGTGCAGAGTGAAGTTGCTGCTAAACCAGCTTCTGTCTCTGTCAAATAGTGACTTTGAGGAGGCCTTGGAAAAGAAAATGAAGAAAATGCAGCTTGACCAGGATTCTAGTTCTAGTGCCGAACATGTTCAATCACATGAGGAAAAATGAAGGCTTGGAGCCTTGGACTGTGTTGTTTGTAGTGTTTTAGAATTAGAATAATAGATGCCTAACCTTGTGTATGTTTTACAGCATTATGCCTGGAACTTGGCTGATGATCCTGAATTTGAGCTGCATTGGTTGTAGCCTCATTTTCAAGTTTTGAATGCTAAAACCATTCTTCTAAAGTATATCAAATTGTTTCTATGTCCATACATTAAGTGATGGACTTATTGTGCTCCAACTGGTTTGAAAGTGTTTGGTTGTCTTGCTTAGATTATTTGGTTTCATGTTTTCTATTGGGTCGACCTTTTCTGCCATTATTGAGAGTTTATTGAGAAAATTTGAAGGTAATGCCAGCTAGTGAACAGTATCGTACATTTGGGAATTTGAGAGAGGGTAACATAAAATATGAAAATTGATTTCTGGTCCTTGTAGTTTACTTCAATTTGATATTTGGTCTCTGTTTTGTTTTGTTTTTTGTTTTAAATAAATTCCTCCCTACACTTCCCAAAAGTTAAACAGTCCCTATTATAGTATTATTCATTTATTTGTTTCCGTTGTAACTTGGACTGCCTCCGTCTAACATGGCTAGCTAACAAGAGTTGAAGTGTGGAGCCACAAGGGTGCCATGTACGTGATTTTAGTCTCTGCCTGTACGTGATTTAATTGCCTCTTTTTGCTCAAAATACTGCGAACGAGAAAGCAAAGAAGGCAAACTGCATTTTTCGTCCCACAAAACTTCAATTGGCTTCTAATTAATTTAATCCATGAACTCCTACTGAACTATGGCTTTACTGTCATTCATCGTCAAGTTGTTCCCAAAATAGTAAGCCCTGTTTTTGAAAATTGAAACACTTGAAGCAGAGTGGACGAATAAACGAAAATGGGTTTCAATGGAGCCAAATCGGCTAGGATGATATGAGTCCAAGAAGAAGCTGCTTGCCAAGCCTTCTTTTGTCCATGTATGTAGTGAATGACCTGTAATAACAGTGATAGAAATGGAATCACGTAGTCGGCTCTCTTTTTCATATGCATATAGATAATAAATTAATTCTCAGTTTTCATTTTCATCTATGACAGTTAGCTCTTTTTTATGCCTGTATCTTGAGATTGATGAAAACAGCTATATTATTTATTGGGATCAACGACCCGACCATTCTGCACCGATTTATGAAGGTATGCATGCTTTTATATATATGTATGTATGTATGCATGTATATTTCTTTGTATTTGGAAGAAAGAAAACAAGACCCTGGTCATAGAGTTCTGTCATTGCAAGTAAAAAGAGAGCTCGCGTCGTGATCAAGACATCAATGGAGGGAGAAAAAGAAATAAGGTATATTTTGTAAATAACTTTCCAAGTGTTATTGAATCTCACCACGCCAAATGGATCACCAAATACACATTTTGATGTGATTCGTCCTGGTTAACTTTGTGGTTGTGTGTGTGTGTGTGTGTGTGTTTCAGGTATGCGGTAGTGACAGGAGCTAACAAGGGGCTAGGGTTTGGGATATGCAAGAAGTTGGCAGCAAGAGGGGTGAAGGTGATGCTCACTGCAAGAGATGACAAGAGAGGGTTAGAAGCAGTTGAGAAGCTCAAAGAGTTTGGAGTGTCAGACTTTGTGGTGTTTCATCAGCTTGACGTCACCGACCCTTCAAGCATTGCTTCTTTGGCTCATTTCATCTCTACTGCCTTTGGCAAATTTGACATCCTGGTATCCAATGCGAATATATTCTGTAACTTTCAATTAACAGCTAACAAATGATTATGCAAATGTAACCAATGCTTTTTAACTGTCCCATACGTTTCACTTTTTCAAATGATTTTTTTGGCCAGGTATCTAATTAGATCCTCTCTTACATTGTAGTTTGTGAGTTGGAAGAAGGTGGACACAGTGGTCAACCGTAAGATTTACTACTGTGGATGTTTTTGAAAACAAGTTTCATTGAAGCAACATGAAATGTTTTTCAAACATGTAACATGCTTATCCTTTTCATGTTTCACGGACTAAATGATTGAAGGGTTCTGAGTTAATCAAAATGTTATGTCTGCTTATCTTTGCTTCAATCAATCCTATCAAAATTTTAAAACATATACATATATATATATATATATATATTATTAAAAGATGAAGTTTTTGCACTGTATAATGAACAGTGATTGGATAAAAGTTGAACAATTCGCACGGGTTAATTTTTTGTTAGATAAAATCTAAAACACTTCAGCATACCATCGCATTTAAACATTGTGAGTAATTGTAATTAGATATGAAACTAGTTGGAGTTTAGTGGGCAAATGATCAACCAACCTGAATTTGCCTCCATATCATGTTGGTGCAGGTGAACAATGCTGCTGTTGCTGGTGGCAAAATATCAGACCCTGATGCTTTCATAAAAAAGGTAATTAGCCTTAATTCTCCCACCCTCTACTTCAAGTACTCAAAATTTGATGTCTTGGCTTTTTGTTGAAATTAAGCTGACTTCCTCTTTAATCTATAATTCAAATTAGGTTGGGTTAGATGATATGGGTGTAAAGCTTTCTTAATCATAATTATGAACTCTAGACCTCGCTTAAGAAAAACAAGCATAACACCAGTTGAACCAACTGTTATTAGTACTATAAACTTGATATAATAAATGTAAATAGATTGCTCAGTCCAAATCACAAGTATCTGTGACAAGTGGAATGAATGTAGTAATTAATTAGAGGATGTTTCAGAGAAATGGTGCAGAGATTGACTGGAATGAAGTAGGGTTTCAAACTTATGAGATGGCTCAACAATGCATCCAAACTAACTTCCACGGCACACAAGGAACTGTGGAAGCTCTTCTTCCTCTTCTCCAATTGTCTTCTTCACCCACCATTCTCAATGTTTCCTCTCGAGCCGGCATGTTAAAGGTAACCATTTCCATGGATTCATTTTCTGTTAAAGTAGACTCACTTTATATAAAATGTTTGATAAATTCAAGTAATATAATCTTTTTCTCCTTTCAGAATATACAAAATGAGTGGGCTAGAGAAGTGTTAAGTGACATAAGAAGCCTGAACAAAGAAAAACTTGATGAAGTAATTGAGGAGTTTCTCGAAGATTTCAAAGAAGGGTCGCTGAAGATGAAAGGATGGCCCACTTTTGCTTCAGCTTACACAGTGTCAAAAGCTGCTGTAAATGCCTACACAAGATTACTAGCTACGAAGTTCCCTAATATTCACATAAATTGTGTGTGCCCTGGATTTGTGAAGACTGATATGACCAATAATGTTGGCACTTTAAGTGTTGATGAAGCTTCTGAAACTCCTGCAAATATAGCCCTTTCATCAGATGGTGGACCTTCTGGCCTCTTCTTTACTAAGGATGGTGTAATACCATTCTGATTAATTGGCTTTGTTGTTTAGTTTTAAATTGTTGCTGTAACCTGCACTTCTCCGTTCTGTACTAATTTATTTACTATGATTGATTTTTGTTTTGACCATGTGTAACATGCACTCCTTTGTTTTTTTTTTCCCCTAGTTTCCATTGGGTAATCATCTGGTGCATAGTCAGAGTGAAGAATGATTTTTTATGTGTTATTGGAACAAAGCCAGAGTCCAAAAGTTACCCAATTCTGCCTCTGTCCAAATGAAGAATCTGAAAACTATGAAAACCAACATTGTTAATAATAAATCATCCGTACCCTATAGCCAGAGGGTTTACAGAAATCGTATTTTCAGCACATGATCGCATGTTTAATAAAAAGAATTATTAATAATTATATACAAGAATAATATTCTTGTAATATTAAGATAGATATATATATATATATAATCAATTAAAAGAATGATTTCATTTTCAGCCAACTACTGGAAAAAAGAAATTCAAACTGGTTGAAATAATAAGTCGCCCGATTTTTCCCTTTTTTTTTTTAAACATTTGACTACTTTTATTGCAAAGTGATTGGCTCTGTGAAATGCTTAAACCAACTCAGAGACAAATTCACCAATTTTTGGGCTAAACCAATTAGTTTGGTCGAAAGCATTGCTTATTCATTCACATATGCACATCGGTTTCATTCCTCACCTTGTGTAAAACAGTTTTTCTACTCTTAACTAAACATTTTAGTTTGCATATTTTAATTTAGTTACCTTCATACTAAAATTATTTAAGATGTTTCATTATTCAAACTGTTCTTCAAATTCTCCTAAGTGATCCAATATAAAAGATTAGCTGTGTATACGTACATAGCTGGGAAAATAATTTAAGTGATTATCAGGTGCATAGTGAAAGTCAAGAATGATTTTTAATATGTTATGATCCAATCCAAAATTATCTTGCAATTTACGGCATGTGCTATGTATTAGTAGTCAAAGTCCAAAACATTATTAATAAGCATCACTAATCAATAATATTAATGATAATGATAACAACATTAGTTTAATGCCAAGCTGCAATTATTTGTATGCAATACGTACCAATAGCCAAAATCTTGAGGATCATTAATAAACATCACTAATGAATAATATTAATGATAATGATAATAACATTGATTTAATAGAAAGCTGAAATTTTTGGAAAATTTTGTACAATACTTGTCTTTCTATAAAGGATTGAAAGCCACAGCAGCAGGTTACAGCACCTAAATTCCTTTGTTCTTTCTCTTGTGAGCGACTGACTTCAATTTTCAAAGAGCTTGAGTTCTTCCTTTGACAATGGCAGAAGCAACAAAAAGGTCATCCTTTTTTGTCAACTTAGATTCAATTTTTTCTTTGTGATATTATGTTTCTTGTTTACAGCATAAAATTCTTTGACTGGTAATTTGCAGGTACGCAGTGGTCACAGGAGGAAACAAAGGGATAGGTTTTGGGATATGCAAGCAATTGGCTTCTGAAGGAATCACGGTCGTTTTAACAGCCAGAGATCCTAAGAAGGGCCTTGAAGCTGTTGAAAAATTAGGGTCAGATATTGGTGTATCAGGCCAAGTGATTTTTCATCAGCTCGATGTGGCTGATCCTACTAGTGTGTCATCCCTCGCAAATTTCATCAGAATCAACCTTGGAAAACTTGATATCCTGGTATGTTTGACTTTCAGATTCTTAATTTCTTCTGTTTTCTCCTCTTTTGTTCTTCGTTGATACCACCATAATTCCAAGCACGAAAGTCCCACACATATTCAAATTATTACATCATTATATATATATATATATATATATATATATTAATATATATAATGTTTCCAAGAGGCTCAGAAAGAGAACCTCATTAGATTCTAACAAACTCACAGAGCAAGAGTTACATGCACCAAGCAGCATTTGTGAAGGAGGGTCACATTCCCAGAACTAGAAGCTTGTTTATATAATGCGATGGCTAATTAAAAAGACATATCTTAAAGATGAACTTTCTGCCATCTGTTCTAGCGATATTTCCCATTATTATCAGTGTCTTGTTCAATCATAATGTTGGAATTGGAACTTCAGTATGTAGCTAGTTATCGTGGCATCAATCCCTCATTTCCAGTTCATTAGTGCATCATATTCCCGTTCTAATTTAGTTTATAATTCTTCTCACTCAATGGATCATCCCCAAATGAACTAGATGATGATAAATGTTTGAACCTTTTTGGCAGATCAATAATGCAGGAGTTCCTGGGGCACAAATTGACAAGGATGCTCTGGAAGCGTCAATGCCTGCTCTGGTATCTTTTCTAATTTATACCTGCTTGAGTACAATAGGGTTCAAGTTGCAAAGCTGAAGTCCATATTCAAGCCCACTTTGATTTACCCTCGGAATCATATAGATTTGTTTCTGTCATCATCTTACACCTAAAATGCAATTAACATTTTGAGTATTGACTCTAAAGGCCATTGGTTTTAGCAAATTTTGAATCATATTTGCACACATCCGGAGGAGTAAGAGGGTATGCAATTAACTTTCTTATTTTTTATTACAGGCAGAAGGGGCTGCTATTGATTTTAGTAAAGTCTTGACAGAAACTTATGAACTTGCAGAAGAATGTATCAGAACGAACTATTATGGTCCCAAAGAAATGTGTAAAGCATTGATTCCTCTTCTGGAGGTGTCAGACTCACCAAAGATTGTTAATGTTTGCTCCACATATGGGAAGTTGCAGGTAAGGATACTAACCAAATTCCAGTTTTGTAAACCTGTACAGAAGTATAGAAGCTAGGTTCTTCCAACAAGAGATTTTAAATGGCAAAAAATCACACGAACAACCCTAAGCTTGGAACAGTCAACAATCAAACCTTAAACCATTATCATATCCAGTATCAAATAGGCCCCTTAACCATTGATGGTCCACGCTAATGCAGTACATGCCTAGTGGGTGGCCTAAAGGAGTCCTAAGTGATGCCGAGAGCCTAACTGAAGAAAAATTGGAGGAGGTTGTGAGCCAATTCCTACCAGATTTTAAAGAGGGCACATTAGAAGCCAAAGGCTGGCCGGCTGGTTCATCCGCATATACAGTCTCCAAAGCTGCCTTGAATGCATATACAAGGATTCTGGCCAAGAAGTACCGATCTTTCTGCATAAATTCTGTCTGCCCAGGTCATGTGAAGACAGAATTCAGCCAACACACTGGTCCTTTGACAGCTGATGAAGGTGCTGAAAGTGCTGTGAGGTTGGCTCTGCTCCCTAATGGTAGTCATTCTGGCCTCTTCTTCAGTCGCAGTGACGTGACATCATTTTGATCTAAGCATAGACATTGCCAAAATAAAGTTTAAACTCTCTAATTCTCTATATCTAGTATTAATGTCCAGCACGTCTTTTTTGTAATACATCCATTTAATAAATAATACTGTTATTTGATGAGCTATGTTTACATGTCTTATAAGTTTGAACCTTCTCTTCATTAAATTCAGAGAAACAAAGAAGAGACCTGCTTTAGAGATGAGTTAAACGCAAGAGAACGAAGAGATACAATTTTCTCTTGCTAATTAACTCAACCTCTGTAAAATATATTACAGTTATTTGACGTGATCAGATTCAGCGATAACTACGTGTTTGTTGTTTATAACTTCAGTGCATGACCAGATTCCGAGTCCAAGAGATGTATATTTTCTTTCACAAGAAAAGGAAACTACACCTGACATGTTAGACAAGAAGAATGAAACTTAAGTGTTCTGCTATATTTTTTTCGGCTAATGCACAATATTCTCATGTTTTAGTCTAATTACCTTCTAAAATTAGTCCCCGTGTTTCACATTCAAACTGTACTTCGAATTCTCGGAAAGTGATCCAATAGGATTTTATGTGTGCAGACATAGTGTTTCAAAAGGTAATTATCTGGTTCATATATTGTCAAAGTAAATAACGACTTTTTATTTGCTGTCCATGATCAAGTCCAAATCAACCGTGAAACCTTTGGTTTGTAGCCTTGTGCTACGTAATATTAGTCAAAGTCCAAAAGATTATTCAATTCTGCATCTATCCAAATTAAGAATCTGGAAACTTAAACCCTTATCATTCCTGTACCACGCCAATACATTGAAATTTTGAAATAGTAAAAACTTAACTACTTGTATTCACGAGGGATATCGATAATCAATAATGATAATGATACCAAGCCGGTGCTTTCGTAAAATTTCGTTTGGCCCTTGTACTCTTCTGCACTTGGCCATAGTCACTTCAAACTCCTCTTCCATAGGAGACGTATCTCTGAAGGATCCAAAATATCACTTCCTTCTCTTATTATTTAGTCGTTTCTGCTTTTACACCATTTTCACCCCATTAGTATTATCTGATGCGCAGTCAAAGTAAGGAATTATTTTTTATACATATTCTCATGACCCTGTCCCAACTAAACCGCAGAACTTTTGGTGTTTGCTATGAAAAAATAGTCAAAACCCAACAAGGTTATTCATTCGTGTTCCTATGAATCCGTGAAATTTAATCCCCATCATCCTCTTTTTGTGATGTCTTCTTCACCCTTTCAAGGAGCTTGTGCTCTTCCTCCGACAATTGCAGAAGCAACAAAAAGGTTACCGATTTCTTCAACTCTGATTCATTTCCTTCTTGTGGTTTAATGTTTCTTTGGGATAAAACTCTTCAACGTGGTTTGCAGGTATGCAGTGGTGACAGGAGCCAACAAAGGGATTGGTTTTGGGATATGCAAGCAATTGGCATCTGGTGGTGTCAGAGTTGTTTTGACAGCCAGAGACCCGAAGAAGGGCCTTGAAGCTGTTGAAAAATTAGGGTCGGAGTTTGGTGTGTCTGGCCAAGTGGTTTTTCATCAGCTTGATGTGAGTGACTCTGCAAGTGCTCCATCCCTCGCAAATTTCATCAGAACCAAGTTCGGAAAACTTGATATCTTGGTATGAACATGGTTCATCATGTTCTTATTTTATTCTGTTTACCAATCTTTTGATATTCCTAGATATTTCATAAAAGGGGAAAATCATGGCTTCAAGGCTTTTATTTCGCTAGCCTGCATGACCACGCAGTTTTATGTTTTTGTAGGTTAATAATGCAGGAAATGTGGGATCACATATCGATAGGAATGCTTCGGTATCAACTACTCATCCATAGGAACCATGAAGTTTTGAATCATATTCGCGCGCATCAAAGGCTGATTCATTATCGTATCATTCATTTCAGGAAAAAGGGACTCCTGTTGGTTGGAGAAAAATAGGAAAACAAACTTATGAATCTGCAGAAGCAACAATTAGAACAAATTATTATGGTGCCAAACAAATGTGTGAAGCACTAATACCCCTTCTAGAGTCATCCAACTCACCAAGGATTGTTAACGTTTCCTCCTTACTGGGGAAGTTGGAGGTATAGGTGCTAACTAAATATTCATTAGAAAAATAGGAATATAATACAGCAGGATTTCCTTTTGTTGACAGTTTATATGCAAGTACATTCTTTTTCATTGATGAGGTTGAGTATAGTTTTTGTTGCTCACGCTAATCATGCAGAACATACCAAGTTGGTGGGGCAAAGGGGTGCTAAGTGATGCCGAAAGCCTAACAGAAGAGAAACTGGATGAGGTTTTGGAACAGTTTCTTGAAGATTTATTAGAAACCAAAGGCTGGCCCACTGTTTCATCTTCATATGCAATGAGCAAAGCACCCTTGAATGCCTACACAAGGATTCTTGCCGACAAGTATCCATCTATCTGCATTAATGCTGTGTGCCCAGGTCATGTGAGAACAGATTTAAGCTTCAACACTGGTAATTTGACTGCGGATGAAGGTGCTGAAAGTGTTGAGGGTAGGTCTGCTGCCTAATGGCGCCCACTCTGGCGTCTTCTTCAATCGGAATGAAGTGTCATCATTTTGATCTAAGCAAAGACATGTTTCATTAATAATTCTGTTATTAGAGAGGATATTTGTGTGTCCAATTGAAATTGGAAACGGTGTGAGATTTGAAGCATAGGTTTTAAACCCAAGGTCCAAACTCAACTATCTAGTTCTCGAAATGAAGAATCTCTAAAAACTGGACATTTGAAACAATTAAAAACTAACCACCTTTTTTTTATATACTTTTTATTTCATGTCCTGTGTAATTAGTTGGGGTTTGAAGTTTGAACACACAGGATTAAGTTGTGAACATGGAATATAAGATCAGTGAAACAAATGATGATGATGATATTAATTTAATACAAGTAAATATCAAAAGATAAAACTTGATTCTCTCTTCAACCTCTGATAAAAGAAAGTCTTTTTTATCACAAAAAAGATACAAAATATTAATGTTATATTATTTATAATTTCTCTGATTTAAAAAAATAATTTTCAAATAACATTCCATTTGTATAATATTCCTTCCCTTAAAAAATATAAAACATTTTTTATTTTTAAAAATACAATCATTATTTTTTTTAATGTTACTATTAAATAAATTATTTTATATTTATTTTAAAGTAAAACACAATATTAAATAAAAATAAATATAAAAATATAATTAATTTAAAAATAAATAATTATTTTATTAAGAATAGTATTGAATAGCGGCAGCAACTTTGAACTGCATGCAGCCAGTTGAGTGGAGTGTGGGTCTGTGGCCAGTTAGGGATCAAGTGGCAATTTTTGTCAGAATTGTTACCGCAGATTTGTCATTTCTTCCGAAGGACACGTGTCCATTTGGAGGATCAGAAGTGTCGCTCACTCGCTCTCGCTTCTCCACAGCAGTGTACTCTCCTCCTCGCCGTTTCTGTCTGTGTTCTGAAGCTTCGGGCGATGCTGTGGCCAGTAGGCAACAGCACCGAAGAAGATCCCTCGTGCGTTTCTTGTGTGTGACTTCCCTTGTGTTCTCTTCTTCACCTTTCGAAGAGCTTGTGTCCTTCCTTAGCAGATGGCAGAAAAAGCAAAACGGTCCCCCATTTCTTCAACTTTGATTAGATTTCTTCTTTGTGATATTATGTTTCTTGTTTGTAGCGTAAAATTCTTTGACTGGAAATTTGCAGGTATGCAGTGGTTACAGGAGGAAATAAAGGGATAGGTTTTGGGATATGCAAGCAATTGGCTTCTGAAGGAATCATGGTTGTTTTAACAGCCAGGGTCCTAAGAAGGGCCTTGAAGCTGTTCAAAAATTAGGGTCAGAGTCCGGTGTGTCTGGCCAAGTGGTTTTTCATCAGCTTGATGTGACTGACCCTACAAGTGTGTCATCCCTTGCAAATTTCATCAGAACCAAGTTTGGAAAACTTGATATCTTGGTCTCATTGACATTCAGATTCTTATTTGGCTTTGTTTTCTACTATTTTATTCTCTGCTGAAACTTCCTTACTGCCAAGCACTAAAGTCCCACGCATATTCATATTAATAAATCTATTTCCCACGAAAGGAAAATCGATTTTTATAGCAGTAGATTTCACTTTTCTACCGTGTCAGAAAAGCAAGGAATGAAATGTTAACCTAAATAAAAAGCAATCATTTTTTCTTTGACCAACTAAACATAAACATGAAACAAGTCTTGATCAAATGGAAAGGCACAAATTTCCATCTCAGACATAAATAAAGTTGCTGCATGGTCAAATGAGCTCAAAAAGGGACCCAGTTATGAGTCGTAACCTCTTGGTCACATGACTTGAACAAACTTATAAGGAAAGAGTCACCATCATGGAGCAAGTTTTGTGAATAAAAAAGTATTTTGTTTTGATTATCGAATGATTATCCAAGAAGATGGACTTTTTAATCTCTATACAGACACTTCTGTCCATTGTCAGTGCCTTGTTCATTATAATGTTGACAATGGAACATCAGTATCCAGCTCTGGAGGACCTATTCTAATCCGCCTGAGACTAATTGAATGTATAGTTTTCTCAACCGGGATAACAACGATGAGTTTTATTTACTTCTTGTGTACCTCCTTTTTTGTTGTGTTCACTGATACATATGTGGTCTTTTAGTTCTACATTATTTCAAGATTCATCTTCCCCAATGGATCTACCTGCCGGAATAAATGGTGGTAAATGTTTGAACTTTTTGTAGGTTAATAATGCTGGTATTCTTGGAGCGCACGTTGATAGGGATGCTTTTGTAACATCAATAGCTGCTAGGGTATGCTTTCTAAACAACACCATATGTGAATAGGGAATTGGCTAAAGCACCATAAAGTTTTAGTTGTTAGGCTCAAGTCCAGGCCCAAGCCAACTATGTTTTACGCTAAAAATCATATAATTTGTCTTTGCTATCTTCCTGCACCTCAAAAGGCAATTTGCATTTTGAATATCGACTTCAAGGCCATGAACTTAATTGATCTAATTTGGGGCAAAATTTTGAATCATGTTTAAAGAGAATATATGATTTTCTTATCATTGACTGCAGGAAAAAGGGACTCCTATTGATTGGAGTAAAATCATAACTCAAGATTATGAATCTGTAGAAGCAGGTATCAGAACAAACTACTATGGTGTCAGAGAAATGTGTCATGCACTAATCCCCCTTCTAGAGTTGTCAGGCTCACCAAGGATTGTTAATGTTTCCTCCTCAACGGGGAAGTTAGAGGTATGTGACAGTAAATAAATACTAGTTTTGTAATCCAGTATAGAGGCTAGGCTGTTACAAACAAATTTTAAACGGCGGAATATCATGTTGAATTATTGATAGTTGATGTGATATTGTGTCTATAGTGTTACATGTCAATAACGTTAACAATAACATCAGTAACGTGTGTTGCATTTGAGGAATAAGTCATAACTTGTGAATATATAGTGCAGCCTGCCATAGATGTTATTATTTGATAGATTGAATAAATTATTGTGACGCAAATGCAGAACATACCAAGTGTGTGGGCTAGAGGAGTACTAAGTGATGCTGAAAATCTGACAGAAGATAAATTGGATGAGGTTGTGAAACAATTCCTTGAAGATGTTGAAGAGGGTTCACTAGCAACCAAAGGCTGGTCTCCTTTTCCATCTGCCTATGTAGTCAGCAAAGCTTGCTTGAATGCTTACACAAGAATTCTTGCCAAGAAGTACCCGCCTTTTTGCATTAACGCAGTCTGCCCAGGTTTCGTGAAAACAGATATAAACTACAACACTGGTCACTTGACTGTGGATGAAGGTGCTGAGAATGTGGTGAGATGGGCTCTGCTGCCTAATGATGGCCACTCTGGCAACTTCTTCAATCGGAGTGAAGTGGCACCATTTTGATCTAAGCATATAAACTTTTACTAAATATTTCAGTTTGTTGATTGGGTTTATATGTAAAGTTTGCAGGCTTGATAGAGCCATCATTTCCCCTTAGATAACTTGAATACCTGTCATTAATAACAAGTAGAATGATAAGCCCTTGTACAAAAGCCATGTCGGGGCTTCAATTTTTAGTAGGTTTTCGATGTTTGTTCTTTTGGCCTGTGTTTATATATCAAGTAGATTTTGTAGGTTTTTGCATGTGTTGCAATTTTTATTAAATGATATACATCGAATGCAGGGCTTATTAAATTGGTTTATTTGTGATGGACAAAAGTAGGGCTTTGATAGAAAACGTTAAGATTTTCGAATTTCTAACATCGCAACAGGTCAGATCTGCAAAACCTCCTCCTTGACAAACTGATCCGGCCAAGAAGGTTAGGTTCCGATTTTCACGTCGCCAGTTTTTAACGATGTCCCACAAATGAAATCAATTTGCAAGTGTATCGGTCAACTTACCTTTTTCCTATCTTAATGTCGAATAAAACAAGTATTATGAGAATTCGTAGAACTGTCTATTTCTATGGAACTACTACCTGATGGTTTCTGAACATTACTCTCTTCCATCATCCCTCTCATTCTAATAACATCTTCCCATCTATCTGAGCCAGCGTAAGTATTAGAAGATAGTACATAGTTACCACTGTTAGATGGATCCACTTCAAGAAGCTTCTTCGATGCAATCTCAGCCATGGGCACATTTCTGTGAAGCTGAGAAGCACTCAATAATATCCTCCACACCACAACATCTGGAACTATTGGCATTTGTTTGATGAACTCATATGCCCTTTCTACATTGCCAGAGCGACTCAGAAGATCCACAACACATCCATAATGTTTCATTTCGGGTTTCAGCCCATAAACCCTTTCCATACTTTCAAAATATTCCAATCCTTTGTCAATCAACCCGGCATGAGCACAGGCTAGCAAAATGCCAACAAAGACCCCATGAGAAGGTTGAACACCTTCACTCAACATTTGTGAAAAAAGTTCGAGAGCAGAATCTGCACAACCATTCACAGCAAGGCCTGTGATAACTGAAGTCCACGACACACTGTCCTTGATCCTCATCTCTTTAAACACCTCCAATGCTTTCTCCACCACTCCACATTTGCAATACATATCTATCAAGGCATTTCCTACATAAACATCGACTTTTACATCATTCTTGCGTATGTAGTCATGAACTACTACTCCAACATCCAGTGACCCTAGATGGGCACATGCAGAAAGCACGGTAGCAGCAGTAATTTCATCAGGCTTCGCCTGAGCAGCCATCATTTCGTTAAAAAGTCTAATTGCCTCTGTAAATTGGTTAGCTTGGGAGTAACCAGTGATCATGGAAGTCCATGATATCACATCTCTCTGTGGCATCTCATCAAACAACTTCTGAGCAGCTACTAAGTTTCCCACTTTTCCATAACCCATAATTAACGCATTCCAAGAAACTGTATTTCTCTGCTTCATCCAATCAAATACTTCTTGGGCCAAATCAACCATACCCCGTCGTCCATACATATCTATCAGGGTGTTTCCCAGGTAGAGATCAATTGGGACGTGATTTTCCTCAACGTACTCAACCATTGAGTCAGCAAAATCCCACTCACCCAAAACAGAGCATGCCAAAACAGCCTTCATTATCGTGACTGCGTCAGCCTTCACATTTGCCGCCTGCATTGCCTCAAAAATACCCAAAACCTCTCTAAATTTATTGCATTGGCTATACCCACATATCAAAGAATTCCAAGAAACCAAATCTCTTTCACCCATTTCATCAAACAACTTCTGCGCAAGACCCAGATCACCACAAGAAGCGTACAAATGAATCAAGGCATTAGAGACATAAAGATAAGACTCAAATCCAAGCTTGAAAGAGTGGGAATGAACTAATTTACCATATAAAACATCAGAAACTCTAGCACAAGCCTTAACAATAAAAATGAGAGTCAAATTGTTACCATGAAGTCCTTGGTGATACATACGGTTATGCACACGAATTGCTTCCCTGGGCTGATCACTGTGTGACCAACCCCGGATCATGAGGTTCCAAAGCGACAAATTGGGGTGGTTGATTTGATCAAAAGCAAATTGGGCTGTGAGTAAATTTGCAGGGGATAGTGCATACCATTTAATAATTTCGAACATCGAGATTGGGTCTGTGTGAAGGTGTTTCCTGATAAGGTGACCATGAAGTTCTTTGAAGGAGTTGACTGGTCGGGTGTTCACAGTGCATGTGCCGAAGCGGCGGGCAATGGGCTTTGCGTTCGCGCGCCTCATTGCTCATTAGGGACGCTAGCAGGCAGCAGCAAGCTTGGATGGATTGCGCGTGTCAATCTTTTTGTCTCTATAAAAAAATATTTTGCAATAAATATTATATTATATATATATATATCCATGAACTCTCACAACTCATATTCTTTAATATCTCACATTTTATAGCCTCACTAATAAATGATTTTAGAAATGTTTTCCATATTTAATATTCTACATATCATACACTCTTGTAATTTAATATATTATAACTCTTAACTAGGATTGAATTCTATACACCAAACATTTTAAATAGTTAATGAATAAATGTTACAACTCATTTTTCTCCAATTCTCTCTTATCTCATTCACCTCTCATTTTGAATTTCTCTTATACTTCTTAACATATTTGATAATATATAATCCCTACAACTCCACCACTGCAGGGTGTTAGTGTTCTTAAAATCCTGTGAAATTAAGTTGTAATAATTTTAAATATCATATAAAATAATTCTTATTGGGAAATATACAGTTCCTACAATCAAATGAAAAAAAAAAAATAGTGTCCCTATGCTGGTATATTTTATTAAATCTGGTAAAAATGTAATATTTTATTAAATTAAATTTTTCTCTATGTAAAGAACATTAGAATCGGTAATTAAAATTTTAATCGATGGCGCTTTAACTCGTTTGATGTTGGGTTTTTCCCCCTTCTGTTTATAATTTAGGAGTTCAAACTTTTCCATTGCATCTTAATATGTAATATCTTATCAAACATACGACAACTGGCCGACCTTAGCTCAGTTGGCAGAGCGGAGGACTGTAGTGGGATCATTTCTTCCAGAAATCCTTAGGTCGCTGGTTCGAATCCGGCAGGTCGGATGTGTATTTTCCTTTTTAATATATTTTCATTTCATCGTTTTCCCTCAAATCGCTTAACTCAGTTATTATTTTGATCATCTTCTCTATTGGCTTAAGTTGCAATGAAGAGATAATTACAATGAAGGTAAATAGTGAAAGTATCTTCAACAATGAACTCTATATCAATCAGATTGCTCAACTATTTTTATCATCACTTTGTTACCCCACACACGGACCTTTATTATTGTTTCATGTTTCAAGCACTTATTATCAAAAAAAATACATCATTAATTATTCTGAAGACTGGAACAAAATCAATCTTTTGGATACTAACATGAGGTTGTGCAAAGAAAAATGACGAGAGAGCAGGGTGTCAGTGCCCGTTAAACTCCGTCAAGCCATCAAAATTTTCACAATAATTAAGACTTTGTTAGGCCTTGAACTGATCAACGTTTTAGAGGAGAACAGTCATAGTTTTACATTGGAGGTGAAAATTCAAAAATTATGAATATATATATATATATATATATATAAACAAGTAAAACTTTTTCGGAGCAATAATTTCTATCACATAATTAAGAATCTTTTGTAGAGCAATAATAAAATACAAAAGATTAACTCATACAAACGTAGACGTGCCAAAAGCAACACCTGAATTTAAAAACCATAGATAAAAAGATGGGCACTCTGTTCTTCGCTTTCTAGCATCTTCGTACAAAATTGTACTGGACTGAAAAAACTCCCGGAATGTAGCTCTATCTTATATACTTCCCACGGACCTAAACTACTAAAGCAACAGGCAAGTGATAACCATTAAGAATGGCTTACCTGTTCTTTTGAGCTTTGGCCAACTTCTTCTTTCTTTTCTTGACAGCCTTGGGTACTTTATGTTTCCGTGCTTCTCTTTTCTCTTCTTTCACTTTCTTCTTATTTTCTTTTCGAGCGGATTTCTTATCCACAGGAGCGTCTGCTTCACTCTCAGAGGATGAACTCTCTTCAGAATCACTTTGGCTATCCTCATCCCCTAAGCCATCTTCAACACTGCCACCTGCGGGTTTTGGTTCCTGCTCTTGCTGGCCATTTTCTGATGAAGTTTGTACTCTTGACAGAGCCTCTTTAAGTCCAGTGGTCGTCTTGTAGTACAAATCATCAGTGTCCTTGCCACTGGCTATTCGTTGCACGTCCTCCTCAGCATTCTTGACATCATCAAGTGTCTTTGGAATGTAAGCCTGTTAACAACAGCTGAGAAAATTTAAAAACCACACCACACAGTACGCAGAACTACTGTTAACCACACCGTGAAAGTCCAAACCTGATGGAAACCAGAGAGCAGATCTAGGGATTGGTGTAAATATATACAACAGGCAAGTGGTGTAGTGTTAGGGAAATGTTTAGTTCCTAGAATAACTTCTGACATGTTTGCTATCTTGTAAGAGAAATTCTTTTCAATACATACAATTACAAAATTTCTGTTACAGTATCCATAAGAATCCATATCAGGTGCAAAAGATTTAAAAAAAATAAAGAAATAAAATAGAATAATTGATAGAAATGTACACGTGCAATTATTTTCGGAGGTCCATAAGACATAGCAATAGAATTGTTAAAAGAAATTAACCAACAAAAATAATTTGTCTTTAAAATATGACATCACAATAATGCTCGTTACCTGCACGAAAACCGAGTCTGCAATCTCATCCTCCACTGACAAGTCTCCTCTGGCCAAAATTTTTCGTTGCACCTAGCAAGATTGGGTACTTATAATATCTAGATAAAGTAGCACCTAGCAAGACTGGGTATTTATAACATCTAGATAAAGTTGTTCACACAATTTGAACAAAGAAAAGACAAATACCTCTTCCAAATAACTGTCCACGGTATCATCAGTGATGGATGGATCAACAATAAAATCAAACAGTTCTCTTATTGTCATTACAGCAACGCCATGCTTTCTGAAGAAAGCCTGAGAACCAACGAGTTAATTATGACTTTTTCCTTATCAGCCCCACAAAAGATGGGTTAGAGAAAGAGAAGAGTGTAACTTATAGCTAGAACTTACAGATACGTGAACAGAGTCTTCACGCAGAAAATCAAGTGCATGAGGGTGGTCAAGATCAACAGCTTGAGAAACATCAATAATATAGAGGTGACCCTACCAAATTGAGATGAAATGAATTATTTTTTATAAATATACATTAAGATAGTCAAATGTTTACAGGGAAGACGTTTACCTCAAAATAGAGGATATTATATTCACTGAGGTCTCCATGCACCAGTTTGCACTTTTGATACAATGTGCGCATAGCGATAATCATCTGCATACATATACTTGTATTATTATTTCAATCTCAATAAATGGTAGGCACAGAATACAGCTCAGAGGCCTACTAAGTAGCCTTTTATTATTATTTTAAAAAAAAAATCTCTCTCCCACGAGTGTTGCCAGAGATTATAGTAAAGATGATGATAGACTCATGGCCTTTTCCTCAAGCTTATGCTATTGAGTTGAAAGGGATCATAACATGGTCTCCAAGCTTCTATGACTAAGTGGTCAATATTTCAATCCTTTTCACCTTACTTTAAGCCCTAATTGATACTGTACATATGCTTTGCCCATACTTTAAGCCATAAGCAAATTAAGTATTAGCACTGAGTATACTGGACATGTGCTTTGTCCATGCATTAAGCCCTAAGTGAAATTCTCTAAGGAGTTGAAATTGCCTTTGACAAGTTTTTCCATTCAGGATCCCTAGATTAACCTCCAAAGAGACATGCTTTGAGGTAGCCAGTTAAGAAGCTTATATAGTCATATTAAACCAACCCAACAGTATCCCATTCAAGAGATTAACTAAGAGTGAAGTTCAAACACCGTCAACATGATATGATTACATAGGCTATAAAAAAAAAAAAATAGTTGCAAATCGACTTTTATCTTTATTGAATACTTTTCTTTTTCATGCCAACCATAAATTGGATCATTCATTTGACATACTTCAACATAGCCTTCTCGAAGCTTGTCCAGAGATAAAGCTGCATCTTTAAGACGAGGTGCGGCCCAACCTGACTTTCCTGTGACAGACAAGATAAGCAGAGCTTCAACCCAAGAAGAAAGAAAGAAAGAAATATAATAAGAAAAAAAGAGCCCTCATTTCCTCCAGCTAGAAACTAGTTTTAGCCTACATTACCATAATAAGATCACATGTGCTATTGAAAGAAACTATAATCTTTACAACTGCTATAAATTTGATTGAGGGTAACCATAAGCGGCTTCATTTTTTTTTTATATTATAATCATATACGTGAAAAAGTTAGGGTAGCACCTATTGAGAAACAAATGATAGAAAATCGATTGAGATGGTTTGGGCATGTACAAAAAAGACCACGGGAGGCACCAGTGAGAAGAGTGAAATATATAACTTTGAGCCCGATTAAGAGGGGTAGAGGAAGGTTTAAGAGAACACTTTTGGAAGTTGTTGAACGCGATCTCTTAATTAATAATATTCCTAAAAGCTTGATAAATGATAGAGTACAATGGCGTCTTGCAATCCATGTAGCCGACCCCACCTAGTGGGATAAAGGCTTGTTGTTGTTGTTATTATAAGCAGCTTCATATTGTTTTAACTTTTTAACAAGTTAAGTAGTGAACTATTCTCTACTGTTGCTCACATATTGCATACCATTATTCAATATTTCAATGTAATTGATAATTTGTGTTGACGCCAATTATCATGAATGGATAACATTTTATTAAGGAGGAAAAAATCTTAATTATGATAGCACGAGACAAAATCCATCAGATAGCATTTTCAAAATGCATATAACCAACAACAACAATACAAGCCTTATCCCACTAGGTGGAGTTGTTTATATAGATTGTACGATGTCATTGTGCTCTATCATCAACTAAAATGCATATAACCAATTCACCAAAAAAATGCAAAAAACGCAATACCTATAAATTCCATGACCAGAACATGCTTTCTTAGTTGATAAGGTGTTGGGCACCTAAGGCCAGCAGCCTTTAGCCTGAACGCAAGATAGACAGAGAAATAGAATATGGCATTAAACAAAATTCTTTCTTAATAAATACTAAAAGAATTTTCCTGACTTCCCTTTCAATTCACATTCAATAGGTAATTTTTTTCATAACACCCGGGGGGGGGTTACTAAATAGAGGCCACAAAATTAAAGAATTGCTTAAATTTGAACCTACGAAGTAAAGGGGGGGATTACATGGGTGAGAAAAGGACGAGTTCATTAAACTAGATTACTGTAAAATATTGCTTCACTACACGGCCTACTGGCCTTAATTTATTTAAGGGGATCTCAAATATCTAAAGATGTCATTTTTTCCTTTACTTCCTTTATTTTGTTCTCTCTTCTTCCTATCATCATCATCATCTTGAGTCTTGAATTAGAATACACGTAATCACAGAATTGCAGCCTCTTCACAGCTTTCAATTAAGAGTATAACCAAAAACAAAATGAAAATAGGAAAAACAAAACACACCTCATAAGGTTTCTCATTTCTTTCTCTGCCCATGTTTTTACCATCTTCCTGGGATTGTGCTTACCATATGCTGTTCTAAATCGATAGTCTCCTTGAACATACCTATCTCGGTCCCTAAAATCATTCAAATCATAAAATTCAGTTCGTATTTCTTAATCCGTACAGGAATACTTAGTTAGTGTTCAATATATAGGCTGCAATACTAACAAAAGGTAAGCAAGCTAGAACTTACTTAAAAACCAGAACAGATGTTTTGTACACTTTAATTGCAAATTCTTGACAATCGCATTTGGTTGCATGGTAAACATTTGCCTGCAAAAAGCAAGAAGACACTAAGAAACTGAGAAAAAAAAAATGATAGAAGAATGACACATAGGCCGATGATCCAAAAAGGAAATATCATGGAAGCAAACCATCAGACAAACTAAAAGTATGAGGACTTGGAGAACACTTCTGGTGCATTTCATACCTCCTTCCCAGTCGAAATGCATCCATTAATATCATTGAAGAGACCTCGATTCAGCATCTTGAATAAAACCAGGCGGGTTTTAGGATCAATTGCCTGAGAAAAAATTCATTAGTTGTGTTTTAAATAGTTGTAGAAGCAATTCTACACTATACAGGTCAGTAAACTTCGACTAAAGAAGGCCCATATAAAAGAAAGCAAGAAAAAAAAAAGCCTGAAGCATGTCCATGTGCAGAAAATAAAATAAGCAGATATGTTGGTTCACTACTACACTGTATTAAACAGAACCTTATCACATCACAAGACCAATAATTTTTAAATTTCAATTTCAAAAAAAAAAAGAAGAAGAATATTTATCTCAAGTACAACATATAACCACCACATGCTTTGCAAATGAACCTTACAGTTTAGGGCTTAGGCCATCATGATTGAATCTTGTGAATTATCAAATTTGCAGATAAGCCATAAATAGTTTCTTTACGAAGAGAAATGTAAAGTTAAAGAAATTAGGTATCATAACTTCATAAGTCATAAAATTTCTTCTAAAATTCCTCATCCTTTAGTGCTTACCTGCTCAACAGTGGCCCGATCAGCTTTCTCAGTAGTTTTAGTTTTACCAATAGTCGTACCTCTAACACTTTCACGGATTGCTGTCGTCACAGAGTTAGACATGCCAACATTAAACCTGCCTTCCCACTCCTGCACAGCAAATATATCACATGCACATAAATCTCAGGCGAAAAACCACATTCTTCAACTCAATCACAAGTGAAACCCAAAGCTAAACTACCCATTGAAGGAGAAATTAAAATCATATCTCACATGTGACGACGTGTCCACGAAAAGAAACAAGATGTCAATGCATGCTACCTCAAATTACAACTCCCTATGCGATGTCTCGGGACAAAACATTTGAACAAGAAATATGTCCAAAGTTCATTTAATAAGAGGGAAATTTATCCTAAAGACACCAAAATCAGAAAATGTCAATACACCTGAACCGATGGAGACTAGAGAACTATCCTATGTTCAGTTGATGAAGCAAAAAAAAATTGAAGGTGTCCAGTGCAGAAAAGCATAAGAAAACTCGAACCTCTAAGGGCGAAGCCCGGATATGATGAGAGAATTTTTGGTTTCGATTAGAGAGAGGTTGGAGGGTAGACGAATTGAGTTTGGAATGATGGCCCCCGTGAGCATTGGGACGTCTGGAATTGAGCGAAAAAGATCCATTTGCCACTTCGTCATCATCCAACTCATATGCGCCGTCGTCGGCCTCGGACTCGGCGTAGTCTTCTGAAGAGGAAGAAAGCTCTTCCTCTGCTTCTTCACACGCTTGCCCATTATGTAGATAGGGATCTTCTACTTCACCTCCCATCACAATGAACAGAAACGCAAGGCAGAACACAAGCCACTGAAAAGGGAGGCGCGCAAGAAAACGGCAAGGACAAAGTGAGGGTAGGGTTGTGCCTTGATAAATAAACTGACACCAACTAGAAAATAGTTTGGTGCTTGAAAAAAAAAATTAATTTATTATAACAGTTTTGAGCAATGCAATTACAACAATTCATTGTAAATGTTTTAAGTTATGTTTTAGAAATTGATTATAAAAATTTTACAGTTAAATCTTGCCCACAATAGCTGGGAGAAGAAGAAAATTTGACTCCTGGAAAATAATCCTAAATCTGTGATTCAGCTCATCCCTAAATAAAACACATAAACACATGGATATACGGATATATGGATTTTACAAATCTTTACATGAATTATTCCCAATAAAATGTTACCGATTGTGTTGATAACATCTTTGCCAAAACCAAAAAATAAATAAATGAAAGAAAAAATTTATATACTTAAACTTATATATTTTAAGATACTTGTATTCAATTAAATCAAAACATGTGATCTTTTATAAATTATTTTTCTATAATAAATTTTTGTTATTAATTAAATTAATAAATTAAAATTCATTTATCATGATTTAATTTGATATAAGTATATTAAATATATAAGACAAAGTATATAAATCTTACCCATAAATAAATTATCAAGTTGTTCGTGTTTAGTTTTGTAAGCTTACTAATCATTATTCTCATATATCTATTTATAGTTTTATTATTAATGATATTCAACAATTTAATTACTTATGCTATTTTCTTTTCCCCGGAGTTGCAGCATGGTTTAATATTATAACTAATTAATCAAGATTTTTTCCTTTTCTTTCCGTAAAATAATGAAGACTTTTTAAATTATGTTTTTGTTGAATTAAGGAAAAAGAGAGACAGGATGAGATTTAGGCCCCCTTTCATTATTAGAATGAAATAGAATGTAATTGATTAAAAAATAAAAAAAATAAACTAAATCATCCTTCTCCTTATGATAAAACTCATTAATATATATTATAAATGTAATCATTATTACATCTTTTAAAAATATCATAAATTATGATTCTCAACTCTATAAATTAAATTATCCTTCCTCTTTATAAAAATGTTCATATCTTTTTAATTATTTTATTTTTATTTTTATTTTTTTCAATTCATTTCATTTTTTTTTGTTACCAAATAGGACCTCATTATTCTAATTACTTCATTTTTATTCCTCTTTTTTATGCAAGTCATTTTTATTCCTCTAATTAATTCATATATTATATCAAAGCATCTAAATTTTATATTTTTAAAGCATATGCTCTTATTCTAGAAAAGATCCTCAAACAACAAATACAAAGATTTACTCTGCATTATTTTTACTCAACTATTATAATCAAATTTTTATGCACCAGTGTAGTTTGCAGAAGACAAAAAAAATTAAACAATTACAATATAATGTGTTATGCAATGTACATTAAATATAATATGAGACCACGTACTATTAAACTAGAACCTCTCTCATGAACACACTCACATAATGCCCAAAAAAATTAAAGAAAGAAAAAAGGGATTATCTTTTTCCTAATCCCCTACATGGCACTGGAAATTTCCTAGTTGTTAAAGGAGTCTCATGCCCATAAATTCGATTGTCAAATGGGTGTTTTAAGAATCATCACAACCAAAACGATACATGACCTATATATTCAATAAATTTTGGTATTAACTTTTACATCACGTCAGGAGCGAAAATAGAGGAAGAAGGATCAATTCATCTCCTCTGTCCTTATTACATTAGATCTTACATTTATCCTCACTGATAAAGAAAATACAAAATTACAAGCCAAAGGTCAGGCAACACCAAACATAAAGACTCGAAAAAAATTGCGGTATCGTAAATCCTCAAGTGTATATGATGTACTAGCAAGCTGTACAAACAAGCCTGTAATACATTCACTAAAAGTGGATATTGTAGGTGTTGAAATGTACTGAAACACATTCACTTTAGTAACATTCAATGGCTCTTTGCACTACTTCACAAAAATCAAGCTTCTTTCCACTTCATCCTCTCATATTTACCTCTTCTGCATAATTAGTACAGTTCAGACCATTAAAGTTTAACATGAATGGTTCAGAAGTTGAAAAGGAGAAGAAGATGGACGAGAGAAGTGAAGCGAAGAAAAGCAGAACTGACTGTACAGGAAATATACTTGAGAATTTTCAGGGAGACAAATATATGATTCATGGTTTTGCTTCATTTGAACTCAATTCAAGATTACTCATCTTCCTCTTCATGTTTAGTGTCATCCTGGTCCTGGTCCTGAGATGGATGTTCATCTGGGTGAGAGCCATTTTCAGGGTGGTCCGGCTGATCATGAGAAGTAGTGTTCTTTTTGTGAGCAGTGACTTGCTTGACATGGTTGTAATCACCTTTCTCCATGAAAAGCTGAGCAAAGTGGTGCCTGCAATACAGGACACCATCAAGAGCAGCATAGGAGGAGTGAGTGAGAGGACACCCTGCATGAGCACATCTAAAGCAGGTCTTGTGGTAGCATTCTCCTTCCAGTGTCACCTTTTACAATAAATACAAGTTTATATTATTACACCAACATTATATTTAAGAAGGCTTGTAACTTTTTCATAATGAGACTCAAGCATTTGAAATTACAGACCTTTTCAAGAGGATAGACTGTTTTCGTGCACACTGCACATTTGTCTTGGGTTCCACTAAACAGTGATGAGAGTTTGTTTGAGTTCTTGCTCTGATCACATCCCCCCAACAAAAAACAAGTTATTTCCGCAAGAGTATTATAAAGTACAATTAGAGTGCGTCCGTGTGTTGCAGAGAGTCTTGCAAGTAAGTCACATTATCCATGGCTTGCCTCATTCTTTAACATATAATAATACAAGATGACTCCTATGTTGGTACTATCAAGCATATCCTTTTATTTCGTAAGGAAAAGCATGTACAAAAGGAGCATATTGAACATACCGTGTCATGTGATTTTTCAGAAGACTTTGCTGCAACATTTTCAAACCATGAAGCAACAGAGTGTGTTAATCAAATGGAAACTTATGAAAGGAAGCAATAATCTACACTTTTTTAACATGGAAAGAAGAGAAATGAGCGAGAAGATTGTTCATATTGCTATTACCTGTGTGAAAGTTTTTGCTGAAATTTCCAGATTCCTTGAAAAGCTGTTCAAAATGTGGCTTGCAATACAGAACACCATCCATTGAGGAGTAGCTACTCATCTGCCCATCACATTAACTTGGATTCATTTTGAAAATTCATTTAGCCAAAGTAAATTAATTTTCTTTTTCTTTTTGAAATTGAAGGGATGTGTGGCTGCGCTGTGAAATTCTTTTTTTCTTAATTTTTTTAATTAAAAAAAAGTCTTCAAAAGTGGTGCAATCTATATGGACAAGCAACCCAGAGTTCAGCGAAGGTCTATCATCAGTGCTTATATAATTGTTTGACATAAAGTCTTCTAATGCTTTTTGTATCTGAAAGTCTTCTAATACTTGAGACCAAAAGAGGTCTCATATTCAGATGTATAAACTAATATTCATCTAACACTTTTTTTTTTTTGGGAAGAAAAAGGCATGAAACAGAGGATAAAATCAAAAAGAATAGTGCAGAAATCAACAAGAGGAGAATACCGAAAGGAATCCCTTGCAGTGACTGCATTTAAAGCAAGATTTATGATAAGAAACTCCCTCAAGGGACAACAGGTCCACCACATACACAGTCTTATCACATGCATTGCATTTATCCAATGTTCCTGTAAAGGCCATTTCTCTTCTCTCACTTCCTTAAATAAACAAATTACAATGTGCTTGCAAATATGTGTATATTGTACGTGTTTTTCTGTTGTTCCTTAGCTAATCCAAACGATATATCTGAGGATTGAAGGGATGTTGGAAGAGACAGAACTCAAACTACAACATGGAATGATAAAACAGAGCCATTGATTGATTGGCTTAGGTTATGTGTAAGGAAATATTTTGAGACAAAGATGGAAAACTCAAGGCGTAATTTGTGGGTGCAATCCAATTGATTGGAGAAAATGAAGGGTTGATGCCTTTTGACCTTTTCAAGGCTGCACAATTAAGGTACGGTGCATTTAAAATAACAAATTAAATTAAACCTCTTTTCGCATGTATATGCAGGTACTTAAAAAAAATTAATGAGTTTGAAATGTCAAAAGGGATAATTAATTTTAGTATTTTTATATTGTAAAAAAGTAAGCCTTAAAATAAATATAATACTCTACTATATTTTTCAGTATACTTCTAATTTAACTGAAAATATCTTATATTTACACTTACTTTTACATATATTCAGTAATAATTTTTTAACTATAAATTTAAAATTTAATAATTAAGAATGATAAAAAAAATTAAATCATTCAAATTAAATATAAATAAAATGTAAACTGAGATTAATCATGCTAAGAAACAACAGGACACTGATATCAGCCTATCATGTGTCCTCCTTTTTTCTTTTTCTTTTTTTTCCTTCTTCCGTTGCCACCTCTTGGTTCAACTTCAACATCAACAAAGTTATTGGCCGGGGGAAAAAAAAAAACATTGCTAAGACTACACCAGCCTGCTTTATTACTGGCTTGAATATATTTTGTCATGATCAAACTTTATTACTTCTCTTAAAAACAAATAAAAACCAATGCCCTTCTAGGGGGATTTAGTCTGGACAAGGTCCAAAAATACTCAAGCCATATGACAATGGGAACAACAAAGAGACTGTTGTAATAGTCAAATAAGACTTATCAGAACAAGGTCATATTACTGGTAGACACAATCATGGAGGCAATGCTACTTGTTGGCACAGAATGAGATCTGAAATGGTCTTTCCATGGCGATCAATTCTCCGAGAGCAGTTGACACCTCCATCTAGGATGTTTCTGACAACAACATTCAATGACTGGATTCCCTTAACTTCATATATCTCCACCTTAACATTATCATGCACCCACTTGTCTCTTTCATTTCCTGCATCTAAATCCAAAGAAGATAACTTTAGAAGAGGAGAGACCACTTCTTTTACCCATTGAGGTGTGATAATCAGCTTCAACCTCTCAACATCAGGGGGGAAATGTGGGATGAGAGAGAAATTTATATCATTTCCTTTATCCCCAGCTCGGCTGTGTGCTAAGCTGTAGAGAGGAATATTCTGGCCAGAAGGGGCAGGAGTGCAGTTCCGATCAGGTGAAGCTAATTCTGAGAAAGAATTGTCAGTTTCAGCTTGTACATGTGGTGGCCATGTCAGTGTGTGATTCAGATTGCATTCAGGAAGTACTACTTTATCTGAATTGCTTGTCCTGCAGCTCTTCACGCCAATTCTCCAGAAAACATCCTCACGCCTAGCCTGAAGGAATTAGTGTCTTGATTAGTCAAGAAATCACAGCTTTCTGCTGACAAGAGAAGAGAGAGACAGAGAGAAGTCGTTTAACTTCCCACTACTTTTTATTTGCAAAATAAATAAATAATGAAATCTTAGTAAATGTAGAGAATGGAAGCAGAAAATGTATTTAGAAATGAAGCTGCCCTAATTCATTATAAAGTGCACACAAGTGAAATCTACATGTGGGCATAAGCACTAGCATAACAGTGGTCAAAAGAGAAAGAAGAATACCAATCTCTTTTCGAGAAGAATTTCTTTCTTCAATCCAGTACTGCACTCAATAAACAGAAAAAACATATCACAGTTACTGTAAAGAAAAGTTATTGGGCCTCAAAGATCATAATAGGAAGGATGAATAAATATACAGTATAAACTAGCTCTTGAAATTCAAACAACCGCAGTTATGAATAATTACTTCAATCTAAAAGAATCCAATAGAAGAAAGAAAAATGGAACGTTAAAGGCCAACAGATTCCAATTATTCACAGTATTATAAGTCCTTCCAGCAAACACAGAAAGCTGATACAACAAAATTAAGATTTTTCTGTGAACTCCATAAATACCAAATTAGAAGAAATAGATTGTCACTGAACCCCGATGATTATTCACATGTACAAATACTCCTCATGAAGAACGTTAGTTAGAAACATTCTGCAGGCTAGACTTAAATGGAGGATAAGATTAATGGAAGAGCATTGACCTGATACCACCGCCACCAGCAGGCCCATTTGTATATAACGCCGTAAATTCTCTAGTAAACTGGACAGCATGTTCCTTCTGCACAAAGAGTCCATCCATCCGTAATCTTATATCACTAGTCTCCCAGGATGAAGAATTTCCACCAATGCTGGTAGCCTTGAGGCTATCAAATCCAATTATATAAGAAAGAATCTGCGAGTTAAGAATGGGAAAAGATTCTCCCATCCATGATCTAACCTAATCAAGTATGTGAAAAAAAAAATGTCAATTGATGGAAAGCAAGAAGGACCAATTAGTTGCATCAACCAGCAATAACAATATGATTAATTAATTAAAGTACATGAAACAAAAAGAATCATTCCCACTGATCTGAATGTTTGCTTCATTAAAAGGCTGTAAAAGTTACCAAAAATTCAGCAGCTTTAGCACGTTTAACACATTCATAGCCGCCATAAGATATCTCTCCCCATCCCTTCCATCCGCACTCCTGCAAAAAGTATACGAAGCTTCAGAGCAAATGGGGAAGAATGGAATGTCACCTTTGTATAAACTACAGGAAACAAATTGTGCATTGAAATGTCAGATAAAAGATGTTAGAAACTCAATAAAACAAAGATAAATCACATAAAAGTATAGCCATAAACAAGCTCTAAAAACAAAATGAAGGAGAAGGTGACTAAAGGGAAAGCTGCCTTTAAAATATGACTTCAGGAAAACAAAAACCTGAGTTTCTTCATATTACTCCAGAAATTGAGCATTGAATTTTCATATGGAAGGAAAGCTTTCAATGCAAAACATGTTTGCTTTAAAAAGAAATTGAAATGAAATGTAAGACTGTATGGAATCTAGTACTTAAGAGATTACGTCTAAAAGCTTTAACATTTCCACCAAGCTATAATTAACGTCATTGAAAAGCATCAATATAAAAATCCTGAAAGACATTAGAAGCGTAAGTTTTCTTTCTCTTTCGTCTAGAATAAGTGTGATAATACCCATTATTTACACACATTTCTTAGCTTGTTATAGTCACTTTACACGCCTAAATGCATTCATAGAGCATTCATTGTGCATATTTGCCTAAGTAGAGCATTTACATGCATTAGGGGTATCATAAACTGCACTTTTTCCAAATTTGCATGTTAAGCATTGGAATTATGTTTTTTAATGGGCTAAGATGATTGGTCAAATTAGTTTTCCTTAGTTCATTTTAGGTTGAGGGTTATTAGGAAAAGACAACCTTTAAGGTTGTCTCTCTAAAGGGTTTTCATTTAGCCTTAGGCTTGTAATTATGTGTATGCATTTCTACTCTTGTGTCTTGTATTGCCTTTATATGCACATCCCCTTATTAATACTCTCACCTAAGTTAATTAAATTTTTCATACTTTAGTCCAATTAAATAAATGTCACACTTTAGATGAATTGATTATTTAATTAAATTGTGACAAAGGTGGAATTATAGAAGATATGAAGACATAATGCAAAGCTATTCAAAGAGGCATTTCAAGAGCATAATGGCGTGAATAATGAAAAGGGAAGAAGGAGCAAACTACGCATGAAATGGTGCATCACATTGAGTCAAAGGGCAGCATTGGAATTGTCACCATTTCCCTCCAATTTGGGAGTTAGTTTTGGCCAAGCGGACTTTAATTGGAAGACCACAGCTACTTGCTAATTTTCCTTCACTTTTCTTTTAGTTTCTCGGTAGCGAAATTCAGCCAAGACTTTTCCCATTCAGCCATTCACTCATTTTCTCTCATTCAAACATTTTCTCTCACTACCTCTCTTGTTCTTCCACTTTCTCTCCCAAACTTTCCATCATAACTCACTCAATCCTTAACCAAATGACACAAGACCATTCTCATTCTTATCCTCTCATCCATTTCATGCAAACCCTTGTGGTTTCACTAAGATTAAAGGCTTCAATCATTCATTAGAGAAGATGGAAGGGTTCGGCCATCAAGGTTCAACTGTGAAAGCTTTGAAGATGGAGATTAGGGGCTAGAGTCTACATGGAATCCTGGAAAGAGGATGAATCCAATGGCTACACTTGGTTAAGACAATTCTAATCCCTAGCTTTCTCATTTCACTTATTGTTTTGATCCTTAATCTAGGGTTGATACATTGAAGGTTTGCAATTCTAATTGGAATTCATCAATGTTGTAATCGGAATGTTTGGCTTGGTTGCTTTTCTCTTGATGAACATGTGATACACTCTTTTATCAATGGAATGAATGCATAATCTTGTATTTTGATCACTGGTATTGTCTTGGTTTGCCTCCATAATCTTGTGAGATAGACTTAGACTTAACTAGAAAGGGTTTTACATAATAATCTTGTGACCTAATCTAACACTCATTGTCACGGCTCATTAAGGGGTAGTAGCTAAACACTTTGGTCACTCTAAAACTCAACTGGGGAAATGAACTGAGGGCATTAATTGATGACTTAAGAATTGAACTAGTTTAGTTGACCTTCCCAGGATAATCTTCATAGGAGATCCATTTGGCCAAGGAGGGATACACTTAAGAAATGCCACAAACAACTTAGGATAAGGACTCCTCCATACATCTAAACTCTAGGATTCCACTCTAATACATAAGGGAATCTCATTCACTTTTCTTAATTCTAGTTTTACTTGTAGTTTCACTAGTTTGCTACTTAGTTGAACAACTGATTCACTACTTTTGGTAACTTGTAACATCTTATATAACCTCACTAGCAATTCGGCCAAGCTCTTGGGGAGATGATCTAGGTTGTTCCCTAACTACATTAAGGGTTCAATTTAGTATTGATTTTGAGGGCAAAGTGACAAGCCTTGTCAGAGTGTAAGTTAACCATTGCTCTTTTAAAAGAACAAGCAATTGATTGAGAAGTAGCCGTTGGTCTCACAAAAATAGCAGGATTATTGCCAAGACTTGAAAATAAACTGTCATGTCACAACCAGACGGTACAATTGGACCACTTTTTATGACAGGTAAAAGAAAAACTAAGATAGGATCGAGAAAGTGAGTTCCTGTCTTTTTGAATTTTAATGTGAGTCCCACACGCTCTTCTCAAGACAGGGATTAAAAATGATACCTTTGGAACCAACTGCAGAAGTTCATCTGGAACTGGTTTAGCAGAGGGTTTTGCCCCCTTACAGAGAACTCTACAGCTTGACAGTGAAAGGAACGAAACATTCTGAAAATCAACAACCTGTTCAAGAACTAGATGAGCTTTTTTCTTATATTCCACCTTTCTGATCATAACGATACCTTCTTTCTGTCAAATCGTATATGACATGCATGACATCTAACTTACCAAATCAGGGGTCACATATGCACCAGGATCTCCAACCTCATAAAGAAGTTGTTCAGCACATGTACTGAAATTTAGAACCCCACCACAACCTTCTGCCTTTGCTACACATACTTGTCCATCAAAACAAATCTCAGCATAAGGAAGCGATAAATCCAGTAGTTGCTCAAAGGGTATATCTCGATACTTGTCTCCTACGATGTGAAAGATAAAATTTAAGAGAACCACTTCATTCAAACAAATTCCACAGTCAAATCTTACATACTAGGAAAGGGATGTGCTACAAAACCAGACCTGGATGCAGGAAATATCCCCCAGTAAGTTGGCAGCCACACTCTAGAAGGTGCCCAGCCAGAGATCCTTGTGCTAACTGATCCAAGTCATCCCAATTCCAACCTAGTTCATAAACCTACACATATACCAGCAGAATGATCACAGAGAATTTTATCAACATACATTAAACTACGGAAAAAAAAAAACAGAGACTACAGGCTCCTTTTTATGCTTCATGTTGAAATGAGCACACAATTTAACGTAGTCAGTAACCTATGTAAGATGATCCACCAGGTTGGTCCAAAAAAATGCTCCACCAGAGAACAAATGGTTTTTTTTTTCCCCCTTAAAGAAGTGCATAATTAATTTGATGAATCCCACAAAGATAATATTGTTACTCTCTCACCAGGTCACTTTCTTCATTGATCTTTTTCAATTGCTAATTTGAACCCACTGGCTTTTATTCAAAACCCTCATACATATATCAGATTTTTGTCCCTGAATCCATCAATTTTATGTTTTAACTATGAACGGATGAATTATGACACAGAGTTTGGATACCATTGTAGGCATTAAATACACCTGGACTAATAGAAAGTGTGGCAGATATCAGACTAGAAAGTATTGCATCTCTGTCCCAAGACTCTTCTTCCATCTTTCTGGTGAGCGGCAATCACATGCACAGGCACACAAAATCAACCTGTCCCAAAAGTATATGGATCCACGCACTCTGATTCACTGTTTAGATACTAGAGTGGTACATAGAAGATTACAACTTTTGGCTAAAGTTGTTTTTAAGCTAGCTGAGGGCTCTATTTATCTCCTTAAATCAAAGAATATATTTTGAAACTTAAAAATATGCATAATCATACAAACCCAACAAAATCCCACAAATAAATCCTTCTGTCCCTTCAAACAAAAACAAACTTTGATGGAGGAACAGAGAGAAGCAGAGGATTAGGAAGAAACAAAAAATATCTGATTTCTTACCATAGGTGCCAAGAATAAAGCAGCATCAGCAATTCTCGAAGTGATTATCACATTTGGGTGGTACTTTTCAAGACAGTGAACAATAGGAGCCGCTCCCAGGTAGGTACTGACACCCTTCACAGATAATTATATTTAAAAAATATAGTTTACCGTGCAATTATTATACAAATGAGATTTTTTTTTTAATATTCTTTTAATGTGCATGTGATATGGGCTAATATCTTCTAGTGATAGCAAAATTTGACGTCTGGCCTAACCAAAAAAAAAAGAAAAATCAACTGAAGAAAGATGATATGCAAGAACAATTAAATTCGATCAGATCCTTTAAATGACCATTCAGAGAAATTTCTTTATCAAGAATTACCTAAATTCTCAATACATCTTAAATAAATGAAGAAACCATCCACAAAATATCATCAGTCATGAGATTTTTCATATGATAAATCAACAGCAGAAACAAACAGGAAAAACAAAGCCGTCACTTCGATGAACAAATATAAAGGAAAACAAAATTGCAACGCATTTATGAAACTCTGTATTCATCGTCAATAAATGAAGAAATCATGCAAAAAATATCATTGGTCACGAGAGTTTTCATATGTTAATGCAACAGTAAAATCAAACGGGAAAAAAACAAAGTTGCCACTTCAATGACCAAATATGAAGGAAAATAATTTTGCAATTTTCTGCAGGAAGACAGAACTGGTTGGTTATACACAAATAACTTGGAGCCAGAAGAGAGAATTGGCAGATGATATATTAAATAGATGATAGTAGATGCACCCAAGAGACCAGATTCTTACACCCTTCATGTTATGCAATCTCTCATGTAAGCATCCTGAACCTGAAAATAGACGAAGTACAAATATTATAAAGACTACGACCAAGTTAAGAAAAATGAATAATAAGAAAACCTCAAAATACATTATTCTTTTCTTGATAAGTAGAATACTCAAAGTCCTAGAAAGTAAGAAATGGAAGTGCAAACTGCTCATTATAAAAATCAGGTCAGGGTGCAACAACCACTACCAATTAGATTCTTCCCAAGTGTTTATTTATCAAAGAAGCAGAAAAAAAAAATTCATACCACTGAATGACACTAAAACTGTCTTTCTAAAGGTGAAACCTCCCAGCATACATCAAACATAATGGAAACTCTACGTTGTAATAGCAGGTAAAAAGAAGTTCCCTAGACAAATAAACAAATTGCACGCTAACTGGTATTTCAAAATTCCCCTTCATATTTGCAGAATTCATTTGAAATTCAATGTTGTTCAAAGAAAAATTTGCAGTGAAATTTAAATACCTAAACTCGCGGTAGATATCTCGTGAGCAACAGCAACAGAAATATTAAGCCCCAGGCTGCTAGCTATTTCTAAGACTTTTGCTTGAGCGCCCAAAGGATCCACTTTAAGAAACAAAGAATGGACTAAGTTAGAAAAATGAAAAGCATCTGTCCAGATACAGCATCAAGTGATCCATTACATTAAGTCTTGAAAATTCTTACTTGCACCCATATTGGTAACTATACAAGTTCCTCTTTCCATAGCTTGAGGCAGCAATGTACGCATCCAGTCAGAAACTGCAATAGAAGTTTACAACTACCAGGAACTTAAAATTAGATAAATGAAAAAGACAGCAAAGTAGAAAAGAAGAGTTGAACTTTCACCCATTTGATTGTACCACTCAGAAGGTACAAGTGGCGACACAGCTTAGGTCGAAGATATAGACATAACCACATTAATCATTCAAAAGCAGCTGAACTAAAAGCATGATGACAACCAACTAGACTTGATTCAGAATTCATATTTTATTGTTCAGCTCACTGCTTGAAATGAATATTGATATTCCATGACGTATCAAAACACAAACTGCCATAACAGGAAACACTTACTTTGGGAATCATAACCATCACCACCAGAAACCATGATTTGATAGCGATCAGCAAGTGTACGCTCAGCCAGGCATTCAAGTACCAAGTAGTTTAGTTCTTTGACTCTTTTGAGCAACTTAAGAGCAGCCAAAGGCCTGTCACCACCAAACCCTGCTCCACAGCCAATGTAAACCTTATCCCGTCGCCTCCTGGGACAATTTCTCTGTAATAAAATATCTACACAGTCAACTCCTCCGCTGGCTTTCATTGTAGATGAATGGAAACAACAAAAAGAAACACGGGTGAAGGGACAAGAAGCTAACAAGCTTGATCAAACAGTTATGGATTAAGTCTCCATCGTTGGTTTCCATCACTTCAACTTTTGTCTCAGGTAGTTGTCCTGCTGTTATTTACATATACATACAGAAATATCGATTATGAAGATATCTTCGAAGATAATTACTTCTCTGAATGTAATAATTCGGAAGCAAATGAAGCAAAAGGAATCATTTTTCCCCCTGTGAGTGAAGGAAGAAACCCAGGAGAAGGAAGAGAGAGAGAGAGAGAGGGGAAAAACAACTTGTCAACCGTGAAAGTTTTGGGACTGGTTAGTATGATTGGGCTCCTTGCATCGCCACGGAAGACACGATCACTCGATTAGCAAGCAAACGGGCAATTCTGTGTGTTTTGGATTGGTATAAAAAAAGATACACGTGCTGGATAACGTTGGATATATGTGATTATTTTATAAAATTAAAAATATGCGCCAAGTTTGGCAAAATCACTCAGAAATCCAACATGTGGATTCTAATTTTCACAAAATCACATGGAGTGTATAAATGACTCTAAAGTCTCATGGGATTTAATTGCAATTAGTCTTTAATGCGCATTTACCAGAACACCGTTCAACATTTACACCTGCACTCCTCTCTCTCCTCCATTATGGTCAAAATTCTCATCCACATCCTCCTTCTTCCTATTCTTGCAAATCAAGTAGCGACTTCCAATATGAAAGCCAAACAACCCAATAAAACAACGACACCAAAGTAAGCATTGTTCTATATCCGACATGTCAAACCCAACGAAATGGAGAAGCCTTTGAACATGTCGAAGATGGTAAGAACGATGACTCCATAACTAATTACAGTGTGAAAAATATTCCACAATATTCTATCCTCGTCACCTTCCTTCAGCTTGTAAATGAAATTTATTATATAAATGCTCCTAATAACTTCTCATTTGCCAAAAAAAAAGTCCAAAAAAAAAAAACTCATGCTTTGGATTATAATCTATATACACATTTGCTCACGTTATGCCTTATGACCAAATCTAAGCAATTTCTGCTGGCTAAGGTCAAGAAAAGAGATGGAATGATAGTGAGAAAAGAGATCTTCCACTGACACGTTTTTGAGCACGGTCAAATCAACCAACCTCCCAATAGTGATCGCTCTCGCAAGTATATGAAAACACAATAATAAATTATTTAAAATATTTTATATGTTGAACTCATAAGAAAGTTAGCTTTTATTAATTTAAATAATTAATAATTTAAAAAAATAGATAAAATAGATAATTTAATAAAACTATAATAAAAATAAATTAATAAAATAATGGTGAAGAAAACACAATCATTTGAAGCATTGGGGTTTAAGATTCACCTTATAAATTGTTAGTTTTTACCCTTTGAATTGACTCTCATCAATTATAGTAATAATTATTTCTAAAGTGTCCTAATATTCTTCCAAATTATCAGCCCCTTTTTAATTAGCGTTGAATTTATTCCTATAATACCTAAGCAATTAATTAAATCATGAAGCTATAATTTAAGTCATCAAAAATTTTTAGAATTATCCCTAGCCTAATAGATCTAGGTTCTCTCTTCACTTCTCAATCTATCAATATTACCTATAGATTTGATTAAATAATGACCAGTCATTAAATCAATATAAAGAATAAGAGAAATAAAGATAATTAAAAAAAGTAAAAAATATTCATAAATATAAATGTAAAAAGTCAAAACAAAAAAAGTAAAAAACTAGCTCCCCAGTTGGGTAATTTAAAAAATCATAATAAAATTAAATAATATTATTTTTAAATTCCCAATCATGAAAAACGATCAAAGATAAAATTAAAGAGTAGGAAAAAATAATTATAAATTGTAGAACTCCTCAACAATCTCACTTTCAACCTTCAGAATGCTTCTATAAGCTCCAAATATCTCAAAAAATTTTTGAGTAGATTTTGTATTTACATCCTTGCCACAATTGCTTCCTACATTCCCTTTCTTTATATATATATATATATATATATATCTTTTTGTTCTTTCTTTTTATTGAATTTATTCTTTTTCTTTACAAAGTATAAAAATAGAAAGATATGAGTAGATTTTGTATTAAAATCCCTTTTTGTCTTATAATTAAGTGATGAGAGGAAAATATATAAATATTAATTAATAGATATGAAATCTTAATAAATATAATCAAATCTAGACCAAAATGTACACCTATTTAATTATAAAATATACACTTATCAAGGAACAAGGTTGAGGTTGAGATCCAAAAGCCTCTGAGGCTCGAGAGCACGCTCATGATCTATCACAAATGACAAATCAAAGTCACTTTGCACACTATCATCAGTCAAAAGATAAGCAGAGGAGGTGAAGATTTAGGATTTAGAAAGTAATCGACGAGTGCAAGGGAAGGAGGAGTAAAGGGAGGAGTGCACAGAATGCACATAACAAATTAATAGGTAAGAGGGAAAAAATATTTACAAAGTTGTCAACTAAAAACATCTAATAGCCTAAAATAATAAAAAAGAATAAAAATATCTACATCATTATCTAGGTTAGTGCAAGAGTTACTAATTTATTAAATCCCTTAAATGTCAATCATTTAGTTGACATTTAAATAAAAGTTGATCATTTTTCATTGATATGGACTAAAAATTGTGCAAAAATATTCACAAAGTCATCAACCAAAGATATTTAATAGATTAAAGTGAGAAAAGGGACAAGAATACTCATAACATTACTTTAATAGTCATAATAGTAACCAATCCGTTAAAACCCATGCCACGTTGTTTCTTTTTATTTGGCAATACCCTTAACAAAGATTTCAAACAATTCTTGGATGAAGGCTTCTTAAAGAAATTTCTGACGATTAAGCACAATCTTCTAGAACTCTCTTAATTAAGCACTAAACTTAAGCAGCCAAGTTGGTCGAAAAGAAATGCGATGTTGTGAATGAAATTAGAAAGGAAATTGAGTTGTAGGGAATTTCCTTTATCAATTCATATCATCAAGAAGAAGCTTCAATGGTATAAGAATCTTAAAGAAGTGATCTATTTAACTTATTGTTCGGTCAAAATAATATTTTTCCACATATTATTCATATTTCCTACATTTGAAAAAGAAAAAGAAATAGAAAAATGAAAGGTCTTTGGATGGTGGTTTGAGAAGAAGAGGAAGTAGCAAAAGAAGAAGTAGTAGTAGGTATAGTAGAAGTAGCATTAAGGAGATGATGGAGGAAGAAGAGGCCGATCGTCCTCCTATACTACCTCTACCATCAAAGCCAAAGCCTTAAGTGAAGATTCATCAACATACCATGACCAATAAGCCTTAACAAAATTCCACCTAAGAATATTTTTTAGTCCGCATTAGTGAAAAAATGATTAACTTATGTTCAAGTGTCAACTAAACAGTCAACATTTGAGAATTTGATAGATTAATCATTATTGCACCTATTAAAGTATTGTTATGGGTATTCTTACCTTTCTTCTCATTTTAGGATACTAGATGGCTTTAGTTGATGATTTTGTAGGTATTTTTGCTTCTTTTTTAATACACATCAATGAAAAAATGGCTAACATCTACTTAAATGTCAGCTAAATGGTAAATGTTTGAGGAATTTAATAAACTAGTCACTCTTACACAAACTTAAATAATATTATGCAAATTTTTGCTCATTTTTTTTACTTTAGGTTATCGGATGCTTCTTGCCAACAATCTCGTGAGTATCTTTATCCCTTTATCCAAAATTAATTACAATCACATCCCATGAGATATTAAAATCATTTGTAAATTTTACGAGACTTTATAAAATTTGAATCTATATGTGGGACTTCTAAGTGATTTTCCTTATGATTTTTTGTCTGAATTTCATTGATATATGCATATAGATTTTTTTTAGAGAAAATTAATCTTTTAGTCCCTCAACTTTTAACTTACTTGTAACTCAGTTTCTTAGCTATAACTCGCCACAACTTAATCCTTCAATTATAACTTTTTGCGACTCAATCCCTCAACTTTGATTCACTTATAATTTGGTCCTTGTTTTTTAAATTTTTTAAAATTTTCTTATCAAATAAAGGGAATAAAAGAAATGCTCATATGTTATTCTAAAATACTCTCATCTTGCTCTTTAATGTGAGATTTAAGCTAAAATGATAAAAAAAAATTTACAAAAGTTGAGGAATTGAATTATAAGTGAGTCAAAAGTTGAGGGACTGAGTCACAGGTAAATCATAGTTGAGGGACCGAGTTACAAATGAATTAAAAGTTGGAGGATTAAAAGATTAATATTTTTCATTTTTCTATTATATAATATGAAATTTTTGTTGGTAAATATTTTGTACGTATTTTTATAATATTCTTTGATCTAGAATTAGATTTTTCAAAATGGTTTAAGTGAAATAAGAATAAAAATAAACACAAAATATGTGGAGTTTTTCTTACCAACAAATTACTCACAATTTTTTTTTGGCAAAAAGAAAAGTAAAAGCATGCCCCTTGGCCCTTTTGCCCAAAATTATTTGCAACTACATCCCATGAGATTTTAGAATCATTTATACATTTCATGAGACTTTATAAAATTCGAACTATACATAGGACTTCTAAGTGATTTTTTATATGATCTTCTATCCGAATTTCGTTAATATATGTATATAGATTTTTCTATTATATAATATGAAAAATTTGTTGATAAATAATTTGTACGTATTTTTATAATATTCATTGATTCCTTGATCTAGAATTAGATTTTTCAAAATGGTTTTAAGTGAAATAAGAATTAAAAAAAACACAAAATATGTGTAGTTTCTTTTACCAACATAAACTACTCACAAATTTTTTTGGCAAAAAGAAAATTAAAGGCATGCCAAACACCCGAACGCATTCAAAAATAGCAAATGACATTTTTTTTTTTTCACACTAACAGTAGGAGCTTTTTAAGTCCAAAAAAAATCTCCTCAATGAAATAGTGAAAATAAAAGGTTAAATGATGAACATATGTTTAAACTTTTTATCAGGAGCACTAAAGTAAAGGAAGATACAAAAATATTTACAAAGCCATTTGAAAGGGTGCGTGCATTCGTCCCAAAATAATTAATGAGGCCCAACGTCTTCCACCGTTTTGCTTCGTGTCGCCACGTGTGCCCTCATATACCATCTTTGCCCCTCTCTCTCACACGCAGTGCTACGGACAATGACTCACATTCGGCTGTGGCATGTGCCACCGCCACCGGCTTCTCCTCCAATCTGGAACTCACAATCTGAAATTTTAAATATAAATTTGAATTTTAAATATGAATTTGAATTTTACTAGATTCGGCCTGATGGTGTGTATCCGGAATTCAGGTTCTTGAGTTGGCGAAGCGTGATGTATACCTGGAATTTTACTCGACGAAGAAGAAGAAGCGCGAAGCATGATGATCAAGCCGAAGACTTTGTTCTTCAGAAAGTGACTCAGCAAAATAAACGCCAGCAAGTACAGCTTGTTCACTCCACATCAACAAAATTAGTCAACTATTTGTATACTTATCAATTAAACGGTCAACATCAGATCTATTTACTGGTTTGGATATTTTTGCACCCAGCTAATTAACTTTATGAATATGTTTGCCTTCACTCAAGAATATTGGGTGTCTTGGAACAAAAGTTCAGGAATATTATTAAAAAGAAATTACTAACTTATTTGATTAAGACAAAAGTAATATTGAACTCTCACATCTCAGTTTTTCTCTAACTAGTTTGGTTAATTAATTTAACAAAATCCTTATCCCTTCCCATCCACAGTATCATTAGCTCCTCCTTTGCAGTGAGTTCCAAAGAGTCCTCTTTGAAGCAAATCTACTCGTCCCCAGACATTTAAGGGATTGAGTTTGCCTTTGTCGAGAGATGGAAGCAGCATCTGTGTCTGAGAAATAATTAGAGAGTTTAAGATTGGAAGAAGAAAGGGCAAAAGAAATAAGAAAATAAAGGACATCCCATTTTATTAGCTTATCTTATATACCAAATAATCATCTGCTTAAGTCATTTTAATAAAATTGGTGTTACAAGCTGAAATGTGACAGGATAATGCAAAGAACCTGTCAATATAACAATTTATGACAAAGTAAATCCATGGAGACATGAACTCTGCAGAATTTCCTCCATGTCAGCAGATCAACTAGCCTATTCTACTCTGTTCTATTGCCCCTTGCTCGGATTTGACTCTGCCAATATTCATTTTCCCATATCTGTGCTTGTCTGGTTGCATTAGCTTTTCTGTCTCGAAAATTTCTGAGGATGGAAACATCATCAGGAGGAAGTGAGCATGGGACTGAATCACTGGGAAATTTGACGAGCGACTCCTCCATAAACTTCCTCCAGTTCCCTTGAGCACCACACGCCATTGTTTCAGCACAGAGCTCCGTGGCTGTTGGAGGCACTGTTGGCTTGAACCTTAACAGCTTTGCATATTCATTCAGAAGATGAAACATGTAGTCATACACATAGTCTATTTTCAAGTCCTCATGTATGAATTTGCTAGCAGCTTCTCCTATTGCTTTAGCCTGCTCAAGCCAAAAGCAATGCATTACTGGATAAGAGATTGGCAAGAATGGTTTGGCTTTGCTGATTCGAACTAGTTTGACATCATCTGGTATTCGGTACTACCAGTGTGAGAGAGAGAGAGAGAGAGAGAGAGAGAGAGAGAGAGAGAGAGTGAGAGTGAGTGACCTGATGAGTGTGATTGTTGCCCCATTCAACAGCAAACTTGAGAGAGGTGCACTTGGAAGTGTCACTGATGGGCCAATAGTGTTGTAAAGGCATCATGCCTCTGACGAAGAAGTCATAGAATTTTGGCTTTACATACAGTGTCATAGCATCACATGCTAGTATGTATTTCTCACTTACTGACCATGCCCATCCTTCTATGTATATCTTATACCTACCCAGAACAACACAGAACAAATCAACATGATACATGCCATTTATTACTCCAACAGACAAGTCTCTGCAGTGCAGAAACCGAAGTTCAATTAGCTTTTTCGTTATGGCTCAAAAGGAAAGCTGATCCTTTCCCTGATATTCTATTTTATCCAGAGTCTGTTTTGTTGGTATGATTCAGTGACTAAAGGACATGAAGAAGGGCATGATCCAACAACTATACGATGCCATGTATAAGCTAGCAGTTGGATGAAGCCTCTCTCCCAATCACAACCAGATTTGGAATAGAAGAACACAACACAGTTTCCGATGAGATCGGACCCATCCCTACCTATGGGTGCATTGGTCTTCCAACTTTGAGCCCTTGTACCCTTGTTTGGATTCTTGTATCCAGTCCTGTCATTAAATCAAGCACACATGTATTCCAAACTGATCAGGACATACAGAAATAGCCAAAAGTTGGAAGCAACTTTTAATTTGCTATTCATATACTTCAACTAAAGCATGACATGTCAAACATCGTCTTAATACTGGATTTGGAGGCAATGCAGTTCATAGGTTTTCAGTACAATTTCTGACCAACAGATTCTATTGTTGGTTATGATTTATCATTTATCAACATGTCAAGTAATCAGACTCAAGCATTTAAACGGCACATTCCACATAGTAGAATGGAAAACACAACACAGCATCAGATGACAAATCAAAATAGACGGTAAATATCTTCTCAATATAATTGGATTAAAAGATTAAAGATTGCACTGAATGTGATTATTCTTGAATTGGAAGTGATAAGAAAGCCGAATACCTGAACGTAGAGACGAGTGTCCCAATCATGTTCTTTTGAAACATTACACTTCATAAGGTCCCTCCTGGTAGGAGCCACGTGGGGGTTTCCCCTCCAAAAGGCGTAAGGCACCCTGTCTTCCCACTTGATCCTCTTGTTCCCTTCTTTTATATCCCCCAAAGTATCTTTCCAAGGCTTGATATTGGTCTCAGCCCTAAATTCCAAAACATTACATCATTGATCATCCCTTGACAATACGGCTGTAATGATTTGATCAACATTTATATTCATTAAGATAAAAAATTAAAAAAAACAAAATAAAAACATAATATGCTAAATTGATGGTCAATATTTAGAAATCATAATTAGCATGTCTCACTGTATTAACTTCTGTTTTGTTCCAGTTTTTTAATTTTTTTTTTTTTTAAATGCAAGTGCAAACCAGAGGACCAATCAGTTGAATACTGTACCATCCCCAGAAGGACCAATCAGGAAAGACGATGTCTAAGCTCCAATCGTCGGAGCAATATCGAAACAAGGGTGGCGGACTCGCCTGTGGTCCACGGTGATGTTTAGAAGCTACAACGGGCCTATCATCACAGTCAAACATGATCTCCAAATCAGGCAATTTGGAAGGGTAAGATCTCATGAGCTGCAATATGCCCCACAGGGTAAACAGATCTCTGGTCTGTATTGACTTCCTAAACTTGGCCACGTACACCCTGCCCTCGAGGATCACCACCCTAAAATGGGCCGTCCTTCTCGCCGCCTCCAACATGTCCCTCGTGATCCCCGTCTTTCTCCAGGGCCGTAGATCTTCGTGGATGAATCTGAAGTAGGAGGGACACGTGTGGTTCGATGGACGGCCAGGATTGTGCCTCGCGGGATAGTAGTCTCGGGGGCATGTTTGCGTGACGTTTTGCTGGGCACATAGGAGAGGGAATTCTTGCTTGATTGGTGGGGGAAGCTTTGGATGTCTTGTCACGGAAGCACCTGCAAATATTGACTACGAGACAATGCCTAAATCAAGCTTAGTGTATGTGTAACTATAATACTACATTGGGAATTTTAGAAGAATTACTATGACAAAAATGATAATTAGAAGATATTAGCAAGTTATTTCAATAATTAATGCTTCTACCCCAGAATTATACCAAATCTGACTGTTGGCATGGACCCACAATTTCCTTTGAATCTCTCCAGAAACCAGACTCAGTACTCAAACATAGACTATATCTGGATCTAAACCTATATATCATCACTGCGACTCTGATAATACTTCAGTTCAACCCACCGTACCATATCAACAGTGAATGATTATATTATTTATTTTATTCTCTTGTCATCTACATATCTTTTTGAACAACTTCCAAACACTTCAGTTCAACCCGCCACAATATTATCTTACGAACAGGAGTGAGTGGTTAAATTAATTATTTTCTTCTCCTATCGTACGTAAATGATAAAAGTTGGAAGCAGATTCTACTTGTTGCTATGATGATTCTTGGCGAGCAACTTTTCTAGGTAATTTAATTTGGATGAAAAATGAGCAGTGAAGCAAGATGAAAGGGAGGAATGGTACATCAATTTTTCCTCTTCAAACCTGCTGCCAAGTTAATTGTATGCGTGTATATGTTTTTCACTAATAAAAAAAAAATACACACCAAACCAAATTTTTGATCAACTTGTTACTTACATGTAGGTCGTCGAACCAGATAAAATAAAACTAGCACCGATCGATATATCATGCGAACATGCATCTTTGAGTGTAAGTACGTGTCTGATAATAAAGTCCCCAATTTTTGTGGCAAAGAAATGACATGCGGTCGATGTGATCATATAACAAATGTGAGTGATAATATAAAACTCACCACGCGCACGTCAAACCTGCCGGCAAAAGAAGATAGAGTGGCTACGAAGCAAAAGAGGACGACGGCTATGGCGGTGGCAGCAGCCGATGCCGGCGTCTTCTTCAGCCACCACTGGTACAGCCACCGCAGCCTCTGAGGATTGGAGGAGGAAGAAGAACGACCCCAGAAGAGTTTCAGGTATATCTCATTATCCTTCTTCGTCATGCTTTAATTTCCCTTACCCTTCTCTGTGATGCCTATATATATGTAGTTCTGACTGATGATCACTTCTGAGTCAGATATATGAAGAGTGATCACATATATGGCATCCTCAAAACATGTCTGAGTTTGATCTGTTCACGTGGGCGACAGGGAGAGAAAGAGGAAGAAGACGAAGAAGAAGGTCTCCTCGAATTGTTCCAAAATGTTGACTCCTCTCCGAGTCTCGTTTCTCAACCTTCTTTATACTTCTAATCGTTTCTCAAGTAATAGCTATTATTACGAGAATCCTTTAAAGTTTGGATTTTCATTTCATTACATTTTGCTTCGATGACTAGATTTTCTTGTATTATGTGCAAGGTAAATAATAATTAATCAATAATATATAGAAATATTACTCATATGCTTGAAAAGGAATATTTCCGTTTAAGAAATTAAAAAATTTATACTTAAATTATTAGTAAACACATCACAAATGCTAATTACATCAACAAATAGCTATTAATCGCTATATTTATATAAAAAGTTTTAGTTCAAACCTAATCAAAGTTATTTTTTTGAATAAAAAAAGTTATTTTAATAGTTTTACCTTTCTAGAAGAGTGTGTATGTGTCAAGTTAAGGCTTTAAATAAGTTTTAAATTCTTTTTTTGATACTATCTTCATTTTAAATTAGAGACATTTTTAAAAATATTTTTTCACCTAAAAATATAAAAAATTTTGAATTGATTAATATTTTATTAAATGCATCAATTTTAATTTTATTCTTTTTGTTTCTATAATTAATCTTCGCATCTTCTCTTTTCAATATATTAAATGATGAATATTTTTAAAAATTTATATTATTATTTTAAAAAGATAAATTATTTGATGCATTTAATAAAGTTTGATAATATGTAAAATTTTATTTAAAAGTATTTTATAATCTGTGATTGAAAAAGTATTTCATTTAATAAGTTCAACTTCTTAACAGATGTTACTCTCTTATTTTCAACTATTAAAATAATTATCCAAGCCCAATTATCAATTTTTGAATTAGATATTTATATGGACAATTTTTAAATCAAATACCGAAAAATGAAATATCTAGTTACAGCATTCTATTTTAATATTTATTAATTATTAATAGGGTTATTGGTCAATTACTTAAAAATGGACTCAACGTTTCATTCGAGGCAGGCCAGCATATTGGCTAATTTCCACCAATTCCGCCAAACTATCACAGTATCCTTTATTCAATTATTTTTTGGCACGGACTTTTTAGTTTCTAGACCAATCTTTTGAGTCCATTTTTTTTTAATTCATCCCCTAATTTCATATATATTCTTGTATATTCATAGAAAATAATTAAAATAGGATTAAAATAATATATGAAAATAAAACCACAAGTATAGTTGTTAATTCTCAATGAGCTCCAAACTCTTGAAATTGTGAAAATCTTTCAATTGTGAATATCCAGTTTAGTTATAAACTCATAACAATACTAATAATTTTTTTTATGACTCCCGTGAGCGACTATACAATTATAATTATTATTCAAAGTATCTAGTATTTTATATATTTATTTTTAAAAAAGCCTTGTATCATAGAAAGAATTCACATTCTCATTGACTTATGGCATAAACTATTAAATAAGCTCACTTACTATTTTTTTAATGTGCAGTTCAGGGCTTAAATTATATTTGTTTGCGACTAGAAGTAGCATGGTCCTCCAACTTGAAAGAGACGCAAAGGGGAAGGGGAAGGGTGGACCCCTCTACCTATGTATTAATTTTATTTTATTTTTTTGAGAGAATCAGCCTCCTTAAAAAAAAAATAATCATTGATAAAAATCAATGTAAAACAGATTGTTATTAAAATAAAAATAGATTATTATTTTTTTAAATAAAATTTATTATTAGTCCTTATATGTGATTAATTTTTTTGAGGGAGGCTAGTTGTAATTGTTCCTATTTTTTTTTTTGTAAGGATTATCGTTTTAAATTAAAATATTTTTACTTTAACAAAAATGCTAATTTAAAAATTTTAATTTTTTTTATTTGAATAGAAGCGATGTTATTATATTTATTTTTAGCTGGCAATCCTTCTACTTTTATTTCCTTCTCTATATGGTTTTTAAATAGATCGATTCGTTAGCTGCCTATTATTATTTAAAATTAATTTAGAATAAATAAAGGATATTTTACTTTTATTTCTTTCTCCATGTGGTTTTAGATAAATCGATTGGTCAGATTTCTAAGTATTATTTAAACTTACAAGAAATAAAAGATCAAAATTTAAACTTTCAATATACAAATGTTTGTTTTTTTTTTTTATGCATTGCATAGAAACTAGTTATCATGAATAAAAATTTTGTTGATTCTACTTTTTTTTTTTTATTTTTTACAAGTATCCCTTATTGAAGGGGATTATGTTCGAAATACAGTTGGATGCTAAATGTTAACTTTTTTTAGTGAGGATTTAAAAATGGATTTGTCACATTATAAAAAATAGTTTCTTCCACTATATTTAGTCCATTTTATTTTAGTCCATTTATTTTTTTGTGAGGATTTAAAAATGGATTTATCACATTATAAAAATTAGTTTCTTCCACTATATTTAGTCCATTTATTTTATTTTAGACGATGGTGATGTTCCTTTTCTTATATATATATATATATATATATATTGATATTGATATAGAAAGTTAAAATTTTGATATTTTATTTCTTCTAACTTCTACCTAATAAGAGAAAGCTAACGAATCCATCTTTTTGTAAGAACCATCAAAAGAAGGAAATGAAAGTAGAATGATTGCCAATTAAAAATAAATATAATATGCGTTCATAAAAGAAAGAGCAGGAACATGACAATCTAAATTAGAATTAACAAAATTAGAATTAAGCAATTAAAGAATTAACAAAGATTTTAAAAGCGATTTTTTAAATTTGTACTTTAACTTGATTTGTTTATACCTGTTAAGGATATGGCAGAACAACAGGGAAAGAATTGAGAAGACTAATCAAGTAATCGTATCCAGTTGGTAAATGATTCAGCAGCACGAAATTGTGTCTCAGTCGTTCGTATTTGTTCAATATTTTTGGTAAAGTCAATAACCATTCATGCCGCAATTCAGGTAATTTCCTTCCATTTATATTCACATAACTTAATTTATGACTATTCAAATATGGTGGGCTCTAAAATTAGACTGTGCTATACTGGAACCATGTGAGGGTGAGGCGCTACAGTTACTTAAGATGAGCGAATGAATACACACAAAAACACACACAATATAAAATTTATAGTAAACCATATTATTTATTAATTATTAAAGATGTATTTTGTTTCTCAAATTCCCCGTAATGAATGGAAATTCAAGTTATACTATATCATTATAAAAGTACAATAAAAGTGACCGTATTTCCATAAAAATCATAGAGAATGCCGGTATAAATTTTGAAATAAAAAGGCTTATTTAGTTTCAGTGAAATTTAAAAGAAATTTGTAGTGTTTTTATAAAATAACATTTCTACTTTTAATTGTTTCAAGGGTAATTATACCATCGCATGGCGTGAGCGTGAAGGCTAAACCGTGGACCACAATATTATTAGAGTTAGCGATTAGACTTTGACTTTCAGTGCTAAAGGATGTAATATGAACATCTGCGACTGGGGTAGGCACTAATACATATTTGCATTACATTACACGCATTAACAACTTGCATGACATTTTTTTATAAATTATAAACTACAGCTTAACTCCATTATGTTGACCAAAAGAAAAACTCCAGTAACTATACTTAAATTGTGCCATAACTATACAATAATAATAACAAAAGTCTTATTCTACTAACCAGGGTTGATGATAAAGAGAATTGTGCCACAACAATGATCACGAAATTTTCACATTATGAAATACTCATCCATGAAATTCAGCAGATGCAAGGGAGGGAATTATTACTCTCCAAGAACTAAGATTCAACAACGCGAAGGGCAACATGGTAATATCATAAATTAGGCATACGTTTAATTCCCTCATTAATATCTCAACATCCAAATGTACATCTCAAAAGCTGGATCTAATCCCGTTGAAGCAAATCACATTCATCAACTTTCTCAAAACAAATTCAGAAAGCCATTTTCATATCATTTTTAGTACCCAAACGGCTTATCACTTTTTGAAAGTACGAAGGCACTTTTTGAGTGAGAAAACCAAATAACCCTTTAATCATGCTTACCGTGAAGTTTGAAGTGCGCAGACCAGCTAGCAAGGAATGCTCATATTAGTGGCTCAGATGTTCAGATAAATAGGAAGATCCGTTAGTGTGTTCAAAGGTTTATGCTATAGATAAAATTAGGCTGTTTCGCGGGCTCAATTACTAAAGAGAAAAGGTCTCACCCCCTTTCCTCCAGAGCTTTGAGAATATCATAATAGAGGAAGCGAGCACTGTTTTCGGCCATCTAAAACTCTGAAAACGCATACAACCCACTCTCGTTACACTTATAATGTCTAACTTATCAATCACCCACAAATACAACCGAAATAGGGTTTACATAGCTAATAAACTCAGCTATTTCAAGATGGGAAATGCCTCGGAGTCCAATGGTTTCAAGAACCACTCGCTAAAAGGAGGTTTCCGCTTAAGAACTTTAGAAGATAATCGGTATTCTTCTGCCCCATCCTGCAAAGAATTGATCAGAGAAACAGATTAGAAGATTACAAATCATAACACATCTTCTCACTACAAAGAAAAACAGACAGTGTCCAGGATATTTAAGAACAAATCAGGACCTTAAGTTCTCGATAAGTAACTACAGCCATAGAATTCGAACACTCAGGTCTCAGTGACAAGAAAGCCTCCAGCAGCCTCTTTCTGAGACAATACAATACCGTAATTAGGGTCCAACAGGCAAAATTTTAAGGGAGGTGCTGCTATGCTTACTTGCATAATGATGATTCTGTGGATGGGTAAAATGCCCCTTTGGCAGAGGTGCCCTGTTTTCTTCCGGTGGTTCCAAGAATGACTTCATGCAAGCCACATTTATTCCAGCAAATAGAATATCTGCAAATTTGAGCATTCAGATACACTAAAACATCAAACCATAAATTAAACGAGCACTGGGAATTTGCCAGCATTTGATGCAAATACCCGCATGTTAGAGTGTTAGCAGCACTTTCACAATGTTGAAAGTCCTTGGGCGGTGCTGACGCAGCCAGAAATAATGGCTGCAAAATGAAATATATATCTAGTCACAGTTTTGTTTATTTTAATATCTACTAAGAAACTGAATATTCAATCAACCTGGTTCACTCGAAATGGACTTCTTAACTTGTTTGACAAAGGTAGGACGCGATCATACAAAGCACCTTTTAAGTGATCCTCGATTAGAAGATTTTCAGAACTGCTAGGGGGCAATCCAACAATGATTGAGGATATATAAACTGGTTGGAGAAAGTAGGAAAGCAAAGCTCCTGAAACAAGAGAGACAATTACTCCAGTCAAATCATACACTGGATGTGGTTACTACCACAATGTTTCATGCAGAATCACTAATATTCATCTACACATTGATGAAGAATGGGAATAGATTAGGAACGAATTATTAATTATAAGTTAGAAATTAACAATATCAGACCAGCACAAAGCTGTATGTCATGTTTGTCACATTACAATTTGATGTGTAGGTAACTGACCTAGCTTGATCCTCACCTTTGCGTGAATAATTAGTTTATAAACATCTAAGCACTACTCTTACAAAATGTAATAGCTTCGCAGAAGAATAAAATCAACAAGGGACAGGAAATCATATAACCAAAGGTTTTGGTGCAAAAGATAAGCATGCATAACTGCCTGCATAAAACTAGTTCAACATGATCTATTAAAATTTTAAAATCATAACAGGAGTTTTCAATCTCATTCACATGTAATGTAAGCATGAAACTCCAACTTTAAGGAACGAAGTACTAGTTGCCCCACTTTAAGTATGTCTAACCTTGAACACCGACAATATTCCATCGGGCTATCTTGTCTGAGCAACTAACTGACAGAGTTGTATCACCTCGACCTGGCTTCCTCTGAACTTTTCCTGTTTGTTTTGGACCATTATCTGGAGATGAAGACAAAATAATTCTGTTAAGACTATAAGAAATGAACACCATAACAACTTTTGAAAAAAATTCCATCTGATATGCAATTAAAACAATATACTATATGGTGAAAATAGAATGATATAATTTGGATAAGAAAATAATCAAAGATAAATACATAAAAGATTGAAAGACACGATAGGTACATAAATGCTTCTGCTATCAAGAAATTCTCATTACTTAAGAGTGTTTTCTCGTCTAACAAAGCTGAGATCCAACTAAACCTTCTGCTATTGGCCTTTGCTATATTACAAATGGATTACTTTATCCTTGTTACTAAGGGAGGAAGACAGTTATTTTACTCAATTGGTGGGAATATAAGCAAATTGTATAGCGATCTCCAATCTCCAATAAAATCATCACATTACTCAAGCTGGGTCTATCAATATAGAACAAAGTGAAAAGTTAATGCAGCTATAGTACTCTAGTGATTTTCAGGCAAGTGCGAGTGTGCAATAGCAACTGTCCAATCATAGTCGAAACATGGTACTTGTCTAGGTGCACTAAAGTAGAAAGAATTGTGTCCAAACTAACAACTATAAATCTAGTTGTAAGCACTCAATCTAACAAATAATATCCAAGAGAAGTGAAGTGTTTAATTCCCACGGGGGAATTGTTGAGGGGGTGATGGTTGGCTGCGTTTTGGTAGCCATCTCCTGTGACAGAGGCCCTAGTGCAGGGCTGAGTCATAATCAAAAAGCAGCACTTGGACTAAGTGTGTGCCTCCTAAGATACATACATACATACATATTGTCTTAGTGATAGGTGTTCAATCAAGTTAAGATGTCCTATTTTTAACAGAACGGAAAACAACTAAATCACAAACAATTAGTCAATCATTTCATCTTAGAATAAACCCCATGACCAAATAAATGTTTAGGAACAAGAGAAGCGAATGAAGTATGAAAAGTTGCATTCAACAAAGAAATCTACTTATGGTAGAAATATAAAAGTCAAAAGGGCTGTGAGAAAATTATGTAAGCCGTGCATCCAATCCTATTATTATTGGATATTTTAAGAGCAAAACCCATGGGTTTTTAAGCTTATCCAGACACGACGATGAATTACTTTCTCTTTCTCCAAGTGAAATACTATCTGAAGGTGAGACCAGAGAACTGAGTGAAGCATCCCCGCCTACAAAAAGCACCCAAATAAGGGATTTAGCCTAAGCCAAATCGACATAATAACAATGACGGAGGCATTATTAATTATTAAAGCCTTGGATTACATGGTAGCTGCGATATGTACATATGTAGTTTCCAACCCTCTTTCAAGTTATATTTCGCTGTATCAGGACACTCTGGGACCAACACAAACGGTATGCTATCGTCGCCAACTTTGAACCGTTTGCATCCGTTGCTGGGTATATGCTTATTACAAGTTTCACTAACATGTTGAATCTGTGTATAGAAGAACCTGGCGTGAATAGAAAAGAATGAAAAAACATCGCTTCACATGGCAACACGTTACATGAAGGGGGGAAAAAGAGTAGGACTTAATTTTGTTCCAGAAATCCTTTGAACACCTCAAATGGTAACATGTAAAAAATCACAGAAAAAAAAAATCCAGGCTAGGAAATGATGTTCGTATCAGCCATGCCAACGTTTTTATTGGAAAAAAAAAAAAAAAAACAAGAAGAAGAAGAACTTTCCAAATTAATCATTCAAATTAGAGTACCAAACTTTATATACAGATTTTAAAGTAAAGAAAATGAGAATACCTTAACAAAGCTCTTCGTGATATAATTTCAGCATGAGAATCATTAACAACGTCACCATAAGGGCGCAAAAGTGAGCGTCCAATACATTTCGTTCCCGTTCCGAGAGAAACAACCTCCATATCTGCAACCTGAAATGAATTAATGACTTCCTTGGGCCAATATATGTGTGTGTGTTCATTATATATAGCATTTAATAGAGAAAAGGAAATATATAGGACAGAAATCCAAATTTCTAATTTGCATATGACGAACAGACTTAGAGAGAAGGAGAGAGATTCAGAGAGCAAAGAAGAGAGTGAACGAACCATTGGAAGGAGAAGACAGAAGGAAAGCAGCCAAGACGGAGACTTCGCGCCCTTGAGGTTTCCCTTTCTTGGGAAGAGAGTTGTACAAAGCAAAAACCTTATCCGATACTCTCTGCGCCCAACCCTTTTCCTCTGAAGATGAAACCGGCGAGGCCATGAACGTTGCCTCCGGGAACGCCCTCAGTCCCGACTAGACGCAACCGGGACGGTGTTTGTTTAGCCAAGTTCACAGCTCGCCTCATGTATAATCGTATCTGAAAAAACAAAAAAGCTAGAATGACTAAATCATCATTATTTAAAAAGAAAAAAAACACCCCACAGCATAGTTATTTTTTTTTTAGTATAAGACCACAACAAAAAATCATCCAAAAAGGTTAAAGTCAAGTCATATCAAAAGTTATAATGCTTCTACAATCTATGGGAGGCTTATCAAATAAAATAATATCAAAATGCTCGCTTGAGACATTATGGCTAGAAGATCAACACAACAATTAGCTTATTTGTAGATGTGTTCTAAAGTAACTTCCCAGTTCCTCATATTTCTAATGCTTTTGATGATTGTAGATAGAGGATGGTTGTGGTCAAAGCTGCAATTAATGAGGGATATAGTCTTTATGAAATTAGAACAAACATTAATATTTAGAATCTTAGCATTCCAGCAAATGTTTAGTCTTTTTAAAATTCCTATAAGTTTAGCAACTATGCTGGGTTGGTAGTCAATATTTTAGAGAATCCTTTAATTTAGTTACCCTTGTCATCTTTGATAAGACCTCTATAAGCAGCAGTACCATTATGATTGATGAATAATCAACATCAAGTCTCATCTAGCCAAGATTCGGTGGCTTCCATCTCGCTTCATGTTTGGTGTTGAAATCACTCAAATGGTTAAGTTTGGATTGAAACTATAGGTGATTTATAATTTATTGGGTGCAGGAGAAAGCAATGTCTTTGTTCGAAGTATTATCTTCAAAGTAAACTTTCTTGCATCTTGCTTTTCATATGTTCCAGCAAGCACGGCTAAAAAGTTTCTTCTAAGGCAATCCTTTGGTAGATATGCTTCTTACTTCATTTTTAGCATTCTAAATTATACAATCCTATACAGGAAGAGAGAAAAAATTATTATATTTAGAAGGGTTGATCGGTTTTTCCCAAATCTCCTTAGCATCCTTACAATCTTGTAAAATATGAATAGAAGATTCAAGAGAGTTATAACCTAGGTGACAATTTCAATGCTATGCGATATTTCCATTAGAATGCATGACATTTATTCGGAGATGATCTTAAGCCACTTTCCAAATGAAGCATTTGATCTTCACATAAGTAGGCCATTTCCAAATTTTGGCCCAAATATCAAAGTGATCCTGTGCCTGCCGATTTTCTAAGGCTGAGTTGGCAGATTTAATAGAAAAGTCACCATCCGAAGAGGGCCTCCAAATAAGAATGTCATATTCACCTTGAGTATTGGGAGGTTGGACAAGAGCAATTTGTTTTTTAATATTCGGGTAAAGGTAATGTCTTATAAAATCCAGATTCCATCCATCATTGGGCTTGCAGAAATCTAAGACTCTTGCATAAAGAATAGAATCGATATTGTGAAAAGTATGTTTAACAAGAGGGTCAAGTAGAGAAGTCCATTTATCATACTAAAAGAATACTTTATCACCTTTACCAACTTTCCAACCAATGAATGACATGAATGTGTCTCAGATTTTGCAAATGCTACTCCAATTATAGGAGCAAGAATTCAATTTAACAACCATAAGGATAGTGGGTGTGTTATAATTGTAGTTATCCTGTAGGACCCGTACCCAAAAACAATTTGTTTTAGTGAGAAGGCCCTAGCAAAGCTTTATGATAAAGGCAATATTTTGGCTTTTGAGATTTCTGATGCCAAGTACCCTAACCTTTTTATCAAAAGTAATGCAATCCCGGGAAAGAAAGTGAGGTTTTTTTCTACATCAGAAGAATCCCAAAGGAAATTTCTAGAGATTTTATCCAAATCTATAAGCACATTATCTAATAGGAGCATAGTTTGCATGGTGTAGCTGGGAAGAGCCGAGAGAATAGATTTTATGAGAACAGATTTTCCTACAATGTTGAGGTGTCGACTTCTCCAATTGCCCAAGCGAGAGTTTGTCTTCTTAATTAAAGGTGCAAAGGTAAGTTTAGTAACTTGCTTGTGAATAAGAGAAATTTCAAGATGTTTTTCAAGGTTACCAATGAGAGAAATTCCAAGTTCATCACTAATTTGTAGAGCGTTGTTGATATTGACATTCCTAAAGCAAAAAAGTTTGGATTTGCTAGTATTGATCTTTTGTACTTGAGAAACATTGAAGAATGAAGATTTGTGCTTGAGAAAGAGATAATTCTATAAAAAGGAACAAATCATTAGCAAAAAATAAGTAGGAAATAGGAGGCCTATTATTAAGTGTAAGTTTGGTGGGTTTCCATTCATTTTTATCAATACTACTAAGAATACAATAACCCAAACATTCAATACAAAGGATAAAAAGATAGGGAGAAAGAAGATTCCCCTGACGAATGCCATGTGAAGGAGTGAATTTTTTAGTTGGTTCACCATTCCAAAAGATTTTCATTCGAGTGGTAAAGATAGCTGTAAGAATTAATTTCCTAAAGTGACTGTTTATCCCAATGGAGATGAAAGTATCCTCAATGAAATTCCATGATAGTCTTTCAAAAGCCTTTTTCAAGGTCTACCTTAAGAGCCATAAATCCTTTTGTACTTGTTTTGTTCCTTATAGAATGAATAATTTCTTGAGCAATAATAATATTATCACTATTTTACTGTCCTTAAATGAAGCTACTTTGGTTATCTCCAATTAGATGATTCATGCAAGTATGCAATCTCGTGGAAAGAATTTTGGTGATAATTTTATAGCTAACATTGCAAAGTGAAATAGGGTGGAAGTCTTTTATACAAGTAGGGTGATCAATCTTAGGGATCAAGGTAATGAAAATGTCATTAATCTCCCTTATAGAGTTAAGTTCTCTAAAAGCCCTTTTGATCAGGTTGAAAATGCTGTCCTTAAGATCATTCCAAAAAGAATGAATGAACTCAGCATTAATGCCATCAGAGTCAAGGGCTTTGAATGCCTCAATATCAAAGGCAACATTTTTTATTTCTTCTTCAGTCACTTCCCTATGTAAGGATTGTAGTTGAATAGAAGATAAATGTGGAAAGCAAGTAGTAGTAGGGAGTCTAGGTCTAATATCGGTATCTTCCTTAAAGAGGTCTTTAAAAAAGGAAACAGCCATATTCTTCATAATATTTTAGTCCTCCACCCAATTGTCATCATCGCTTTTAAGAGATATGAGCTAGTTTTTTTTCTTTCTAATGACAGATGTAGTATGGAAAAATTTCATATTTTGATCTCCCTATTAAGCCATTTACATGTAGCCTTTTGGTATCAAATCATCTCTTCTTGCAAAAGAACCTTGTTATAGTCTTCTCAAAGAGATTTTTTCAATTTTCGCAAGAAGTAATTATCTTTGTAGCTTCTATTCTTATTAATACCTTCCAATCTCTTTAAAATTCTATTCTTTTTTGATGGAATACTGCCAATTTTTTCCTTATTCCAAGTAATAGTAGAATTGGCAAAATTTGTAGCCTTATCCGTCTAAGTTGTTATTAGTCTATGAATCTTTGACCATAGGATGGAAGGATTCCTTAAGCATCTGACAACATAAAGGTTGTGTCTATTTCTTTAAAGGAGACTCTTTAAATAATTGAATTCTAATTAGATGATGATCAAAACCATATCTAAGCAGATGAAAGGAATTTTCCTAGTGAAATTTGAGTCTCTATTCAGTATTGTAAAAAGCCCAATCAATCTGTTCTTTCACATTACCTTTTTCCCAAATAAATCTATCACCACAGAAGTTGAGATCAAGAAGGTTGGAAGAGTTTATACATTGTCTAAACTGTTTCATAGGTCTCTGGTTGAAATTATGTCAACCACTCTTGCCATCACAAGAAAGATATAAGTTAAAGTTACTAACGATAAGCTAAGGATCAGTAATATTATGAGCAAGAGAATTGGTAAAATCCCAAAGCAAGTCTTGCTGGAGAGGATTGGGATCTCTATAAACACATGAAAGCAAATAAGAGCAATTATTGGCTGAGATATTAACCTTGCAATGCAACAGTTGAACATTAGAGCATGCATAATCGATATTAACAAGATCATTATTATTCCAAAGTAACCAAATATCACCACTATAGCCAATAGCTTTGACATGAATCCAGTCAGAGAAACCTAATTTCCTGACAATATAATCTGCTTTGGAACTACTGGCTCTAGTTTCAAGAAGAATAAGAATTTAAGTATTAAAGGTTTTAATGATGTTCTTTGATACATGTAGGAAAACTTTTAGTACAAGCATCTTTACAATTCTAACAAATTAAATCCATACTAAAAGAAAAGGATGAGATAAACCTGGTAAAAGATTACTCTTCTTGATTTTCCAAAGAATCCTCGACTTGGTCATCACTAAATTCTTCATCCTCAAGATCTTCATGGTGGACAGATTTGTTATAATCTTCATCTAGGAGATCATCCTTGAGAATATCATCTTCATCATTATCCTGTATGAATTCGTTTTGGTTGACTTCCATAGCTAATAGGTCATTTGTCATAACTTTAGGAGAGTCCTTTTGTAATTAGGTTTCTAGTACAATACTAAGGTTGATATCAAGGTCTAGAGGTTTTTTATGGTCAAGTTGTGAAAAGGAAGAATTAATATGATTTTACTAGAAAGAAGAAATATCTTCATTGATAAGATTTTGTTAGATTTTAGATTAGGGGAGAAGACATTTTCAATCAGATTTAGCTCAGCATTTTCCCTAAGGACGTTTAATTTCATTGATTCGTTAATGGGCTTGTCACAAGAGCCCGAGTTTCTTTTGTTGCCTTTAACCACATTGTGTATTTGTTTGGAGGTTCTGCTAGGGATGCTTTTGGGCTTTATCTTGTTGGAAGCCCTTTTATCAATATTAATCGAATTCGAGCCTTTCCATTCAAAGCTTGGCCTAATTTTTTCTATCTTTGATAATATCTCTCTTTCATTTTTTACCCTAGTTCTCACTTCATTATCAGTTTCGTCTAGCTTTTTGGCTCGATTTCTTTTCGTGCCAGCCAGATCTTTTCTCCTCCAAATCTGTCTAACAACCTTAATAGGTGAAGCTTAAGGTGGAACATTAAAGGTAGCTTCTCTTTGATTTA